GGTCAAGCTGGACACATGGATCAATAAGACGTCTCTTACTGAAAGTCAGTGTTGGATTCTTTTAACCGCGACCATGTGGATCCTCTAACCTTACCAAAGTTGTATATTTAACCCAAATCCCGACGCTGCTAAAACCCAGACCAAGTCATGGCTGTGCCCAAATGTAACTAGACCTAAACCATCTCTGTGTGAGATTGTAAAACACATTTATTTGGTTTTGTTATAGTGATTTTAATGTAAAAATATAGATATATTGTATGAAAGTCCCTACACATGAAGTCAGATGAACGCAATGACCTTATTACAGTTTATTCAACTGTTTATTTTAGTTTTTGCTTAATGATGCTGTTTAGACAGTAGTGCACTGGTTATTGACAAATTGGATTGACATTTACCTCTCGTCCACTCTGTAGGGCAAAAATCAGGCAAAAACAAAGTAAAAAGTGACGTCAGTTAAGTCTGTGAGGGTTCAGGGCTTAGGGTCAGGGGGGAGAGACATTGGCATCGGTGTCGCTAGCTCATTTTTCCGGGGCTTTAGTCCCAGATGTTTTGACTTTAGCCCTGAATGTAACTAAAATTATTTTCTGTATTATGTAATAATCTTCATGACGCAGCCTGTCTCGCAGGTCTTCAAAGAACGGAGGCTACTCGCAATAATATTGTTCTCATAACGTGACCCCCATCGTTACTCAGCCTGCCTGCGTTTAGTGTGAGCGCGGGCGCGAGAGAGAGAGAGAGAGAGAGACTGGTTCATTGGTTACAGCTTCAGGGCTTGTCAGCGACTGCTGAATTGTCATCTGTCAGAGGACACCTGATCGACACACCTGTCACTCTGTGTGTCTGTCCTCTTCGCTCAGAGACACTTCGCTCTGTTTGACTCTCTCTGCTCCAGGTTGCTTCATTCCCTCTGAAGCGGCTGTGAGCTGCACTTTATCAGAGGCGCTGAAGTGAACGTGTGTGTGGATGTGTGCTGATATTTCGGTTTTCAGTTTCGGTTTTCTACCTCTGATGAAGAGCAGTGAGTTCGTCTCATCCAGTACATTCCCAGACGGCACTCTGTCTGTCAGACGGTCTAAAGGGCGTAGCAGCCTACGACCATATCAGCAGAGCACTAAGGCTGGGTAATGCACAGCAGTGGGGCGAGGTTTACGATTACGATTTTGTTCTCGTAATAAATGTGTAGAAAGTTGTGCGGAACGTTTTGAACACGTTTTGAACTGTTGAAGTCCGTGAGTTTATAACTGAATTAAAATGAATTAATTTCTCATTGAGGTGAAAAGATGCCACATGCACATTTAAAGATTTCAGTCATGCCTGCATGTTGACTCAGCAGGGATTAAATTAAATGACAATATTTTCATCTGTACCTACGGTCCATACAGAGCTGGTAAGAAGGCCTTTAGTTATGCTGCCTCATCCACCTGGAACACATTGCAGACTGATTTGTAGTTGCGTATTCTGATCTCTTTTGGTGAATTTAAACACAGCATGAAAGACTTGGAAGTAGACGCTATAAATTGTTGTCACTGCTTTTAAAATAACTAAATCTTTAAACCTACGGTATGTATAAATTGTACTTTTAGGTAGTCTAAAGTCGTTTATGTATCTTAAGAGTCTAAATGTTCTTTGTTGTTTTGCGTGTGCTTGGTGTTCATATTTGTAACTGTGCTCTGTCAATATGGTGATATTTTGGCCAGGTCTCTCTTGAAAAAGAGGTTTAAAATCTCAATGAGATCAGCTGGTTAAATAAAAAATAAATAAATAAAAAAATTCACCAGAATGGAGGAAATGAAGTGTTTAAAGCCCAAATTTTGCCCTCATAATTAATATTATCAATGTAAACTTATCATTAGTAATTATTAATCATAATAGATGTATTGATATGGCCTATGATATTTAATAATTAAAATGTAGCTCAATAATTTATAGGTAGGTATAAGGCTGAAAGATTTCTGGGCTGGGCTAAGCCCCCAGTGTTTCAAGAGCCTGGCAACGCCCCTGGACATTGGGATTGGACCTACCTCTTATAACACCTCTAACCTTGAACATGCACTTCTTTCTTCCTTACAGTTCTCTTGTATTAATTACACAAGTTAACTCTTACTACTTCCTCGAGGTATTTACCCCATTGTTGCAGTACATGCTATCAGCTCTTACTAGTATCTGTTGTCACTTGTAGATCTCTTACTGTATTGATGCTTTACTGATTCTTGTATGTTCCTCAAATCTCTTTGGATAAAAGCCAAATGAGTAAATGTTTATAAATCTAACATATATGGTTCCTAAATTCCTTCATTACAGTCCGCTCCTCTCTGTCTTTTTCCTCCTCAGTTTCTGCCCTCTCTCACCCTGCAGCCTCATCAGAGATGAGGCTGCAGGGTGAGAGAGGGCAGGGGACAGTTGGTTACATAAGAGTGCTTTCAGCATCTCGTAGCATCGCCGCACATCCTTTTTTTTTTTTTTTTTTTTTTTTTTATATCACACTGCAGACACACACCCCTCCCTTCCCTCTGCACATCAGTTTGTTTAAGGTTTGCAGCAATTATTTAGACGTTTTTAATAAAAGTTTAAAAAATTAGTTATTACTATGTGAGTGTACTTAAATGACAGATGGACGTAAAGATGTGTGTGTGTGTGCATGCTTACAAAGTACAGGACAGCTCAACACCAATTACTCAATAGAAGGGGGACATTGTTGAAACATTAAGATGAAAAATGATAATCCTAGAGACAAACTATTTGACAGACTGTGATTAAATGTGTCTCGGTGGTTTAATGTTTCTGTGAGACAGATTTGATGATGCATCTGTAAAAGGTGTGTATGTGAATTATCTGCAGATGGCTCAGTTTAAAAGATCAAGTTGTGTTAAAGCTTATAGCTCCTCCAGCTAGTTGCTTTTTCTCTTGTTCTTGCTGACAAATGATTGATTAACGACACTGAGGTTCTGAACTGAGAGACCACTGTAGTTTTTAAGTATTCGATGGTTATCGGTCAGTTGTGCTTGAAAGATTGAAGCGTTAGGGGTTGAAGTGATGTACAATTACAAGACTCTGTTGTTAGCGGAGACTCGGACAGCTATGACCTGCAAAGTGAGGTACATGTTCACTGCTGGCTGTCCACCATTGGCAAAATGTCTGTGCACGTTGTTGAGTCATTATTGAGACTTTGGTTAATAAATGTTACAGCGGACCCCTTCTGCTGGAATGGATTATTGAAAGTGATGTTTGTTGTCTTTTATACTACAGTGGCACTGAGCTGTGTCTTCGTTATCTGATATTTGTTCAGATTATCTGTAATGTAGAAATAGGAGGGTTAAGTATTTAAAAGGCATGGTTTGTGTGAATATTCATATCATGGAGAAGTTTGGCTCGTTAAAAGTCTTAAGTTTATTACTTTTATCATTTCATAATTATAACATTATAATCACAAGTGACCCTGCGCTAAGCCACGCCACAACTACGCAGCTGGCCAATCACAGCGCAGTATAGGTCCGTCACTTGGCTGTGCTCCATTGACTCGTGTGGAAAATCCGTTGTTTTCTAGCTTTCTTTTGACACATTTTTCCAGGATCTGGTCAAACGTTTTCCTAGAGCACTTGTAATAGTTATAATCACTACCCAGAGAGGCTGAAAGGAGAAGTACAATTTATTCCTTTTCCAAAACTTAAAACAAATCCAATGCTAACGCTAGCTAACTTACTAAAAACCCTTTTTGCTTTTTAATGATGTAAGTAATGTACTAGTGAACAGAGACCTACCCAGCAGTACAGGAACAGTGTTGATAGTATCGTTGTCCTCTTTCTCAATAATCATGTTATACGGTGGTTCACTGTGATTGGTAGGCTTTAGCTTCTTTAGTCTTATTTTTTTTCTGATCACATCAGTTCGACAGCCTGAATACGACCTTCAAATGCACAATTTCAATTCAATTTTATTTATATAGCGCCAAATCACAACAACAGTTATCTCACAGCGCTTTTCATAAAAGAGCAGGTCTAGACCGTACTCTATGATGTTATTTACAGAAGCCCAACAATTCCCACCAAGAGCAGCACTAGGCGACAGAGGCAACTGCAAAACTGTCTGCTTCTTTCTGAGATCGTTTTTTCCAAAAATTAGACATGGGGAGGGGGGCGTGGCTCAGTGAAGGGTCAATTGGAGATAAAACGGTATGAATCATGATTACAGTGACAAAAATTATTACGGTGATCAGTACTATCGCTGTGTGAAACTTTTCAAAAAGTACTGATAAAAAAGTTTTACAAATAAGCAGTGTACACATTTTGTTATAAAATACTATTGATATAAAAACAGCCAATACCTTCTGTAAACAAATAAAAACCATATAAAATGTGCATTATTAAATGTTTTTAAGGATGACCTCATGCACAATTTGCATTAATACAAACAAGTCTTAAGAAGACAGTGATTGTAACTGCAGTGAGCACAGCACAAAAATACTGTACAAGAGGCTTGTGAAGGAGTCTACAGTGTTTCTCCTGTTCGTGCACTTTTAAAAGTAACGTGTTTCATGTGTAGTGAGCGAATACAGTCTGCAGACGCACGACGCATACAGCAGCACAACATGTAGTGTTTTTACGAGATGAGCAGGAAACCGTGAGAGCTTCTGTTTACAAGCTGTCCCCACATCATGAACTGAGCGTAAAGTTCATTTATCTTGCATTTGCTATAAAGTAGTGGGCGGCAGTACGAAGATGACTCATGAGATTTGAAGTGTTGCCCCCTTTCGCACTTTCAAGAATCCTCCAGCACTATAAAATCAAAATATGACCAAAATACGTCAGACTTAAGACCAGTATTTCTGCTGGGTTTTGTCCCATTTAACTGGATTTAAATGGCGTTCAGGTGGAGAGATCTTACTGAATGTTTGTAAATCTCGCTGGTTTTCAAACCTACTCTCTGTATCTCTGTATAAATAAATCTGGTTTGACCTTTAGATAGATAATGAATCCAGACTATCTCTCTGTTTGTCTCTGCAGTGGAGGGCAGACAGGCGGCATGACAGAGGAGAAATGTCCCCAGCTGGTGGACTACTTTGTAGTGGCAGGTCTCGACCCTGCGGGGCCCTGGAGGCCCCTGGACGAGGATGGAAAGACCTCCACCAACTCCTCCTCGACGCCCTCCTCCTCTTCCTTGTCTTCGTCGGGCCGGGCAGTGGAGTCGGTGACAGACCTGGCCGTGATCGCCCGGGGTCTCGGGGAGGAAGTGCCGGAGGGCTTCACCTGCATTGAGAAGACCCTCGGCGGACACTCGGCCGAGCTGAGCGCCGGCCTCATCAACAACCCACACCTATTCCTGTGCTACCGCCGAGGTCGGGACAAACCGCCCATCCTGGACCTGGGGTGAGACGCTTTGTTTTGTTTTCCAGCGGCTGTTTCCACCATTCAGTCTGATTCTTTCTGAGCAGTTTGGGAGGAGAAAGCCTTGATGCTGACCCGGCTGGCTGTAGGGTTAATGATTCAGTCCAAACACCTGCATCTGTTTCGTGCTCCAGAGAGACTGCTGAATCCATTTGTTGGTCCCTGACTTTTCATTTAACCGCCACAAACGGGTTTAAATGTCCTCTTGTCTGAAGCTGTGTTCAGACAAATAACAGTACTGTGGATGAAAACGCAGCCCCCCCTCTTTGTTGATACAGTGGTGGTGCCAACGTCGAGGACGCAGGGTCGTACCCGGCCTAGAAAAATCCAATACATGCACGCACACTGTCCTGGTGAATTACTTTGTAACATGAACTTTCAGGAGCAGTAAAATCCCTCGTCACAACATTATAAACCACTGTGCAGAGCAGACTTCCCACTAAAAGAACACCTGATAAGCAAACATATACAGATGTCTCCCGTCATTAAATTTAACCTAAATTTAATTGATTTAATTAATATTGCCAGTCTGCAATCATCCAAATAAAACCGTCCAGCCATCAGTTGTGTGATGATGGGATCGCTAGAGAATCTTTACCAACTCTCCCATCCATCCAATGTGACGTAAACACTAAGGCAGAAAACTCATTTTTTCATTCATTTTTCTCGAAATAGCAATATGGCAGGAGGCGCAATATTAGTTAAAGGTTGCATGTGTGTGAAAATACCATTTTAAATTAAATATTGTTGTGCTGCGGAGATGTCCTGGCCTACCTATTATATTGTAGAGGTATAAGGAAAAATATCTTTGTTTGGTACTGATCCCTGCAAAAATGACACCAGAATTTTATTTTATTATGTTTGTGTACAAGTATAGCCACAGACTTTTTTTTTTTTTTTACCCCCCTCCCCTCTGGCAGGAGGTACAGCCGTTCATAATTATTTATCACTCTACGTGCTCCGCACACCCATATAAGCATTTTTTAAATATATCTTGTATTCCCAGAGTGTTTTCAATTATTTCTGTGCTGTTTTTCACTCTGTGAACTTTGCACGGAATTTCGTTCTACAGTGTTTTGTGGAATGATAATAAAGAAATCTTTAAGTTTCAATGAAAATTAGAAGAATAATGAAAAAATTATCATTATCTCTAATACTGCAAATCATATTGCAATATCAGTCAAAATTATCGCAATTCTAAAATTTTTTCAATATCGTTCAGCCCTAATGTCGATCTTCTCATCTCGCCCTCAGAACAGAAGTGAATAAGCAAATTTCATTAAAGGCTTTATTCACTCGAGTAGGACCGAAACGATTCATTGGTTGAATCGATTATTTTGGTTACTGAAAAGCATCAATACAAATTCTTTGCATCGATGCTTCGTTTAATCCATATAACTAATACAGCACAGTGTTTTGCACGGACATTTATTACTGTCGCACATCGCGCTTACGCTGTGAACACAACGTGATTATGATGCTGCTGTTTGCAAAGTGGAGGAAGAGAGAAAAAATAGCAGGGACGAAGAAGAAAGTGTCCAAAGTCTGGGATTATTTCAAGCTAAAGTAAACAACAACTCTGTAATGTTACAGTCCGTCCACCGTAAAACAAACTTTTGTCGCCTCGGCAACAGCACGACGGCACCTTATCAGAAAGCAGCCGGTCTAGCATCAAGTCCACAGAGCGGACCACAGACAAGTTAACTGTAACAGCAGCTTTAGCATTTAACTGAAATCATGATTGATTGTTGAGTTGAAGGCTAGCCAAAGTACTTCTTAAACGATGAATTGATGAAATTATCTGTAGAATACTCGATAACTAAAATCATCGTTAGCTGCAGCCCTACTTGAGCATGTGAAAAGCATGAGAAATCTCATTCAATCAAATTTGGGTGAAAATTACCTTCAGCCCCTGTCACATACAAATGTTTTGGGCCATTTTTAACTTAATCTAGGCAACAAAACACCAGTAAACTGTTTTAAATATGACCATTACAGCCCAAATCAGTATTATCAAATGTCTTGTTTTGCCCGACCTAATGGTCTAAATCTCAAATATATTCAATTTACTACTATGTAGGACTGAAACTAGGGCTGCACAATATGGCCAAAAATGCTTCATATCTTGATAATTATCACGATTAGTATCAAATCGTTATTTATTTCGAGTTTAAAGGCTGATTTTTGCTCCTGAGTAAAAGTGAAACTCTGCCTTATGGTCAGAACAAACACTTGAGGCAGAATATTCAAAACAATTATGATAAAATCTTTCTCAACAAATATGCACGAGTAAAATTAAGTAAAAGCTTTTTTCAGTCCTTTTTCAATCAAAGTCAAATATTTATTGAATAGTTATTGAACATTTGTTATATTGTTGTTAAATATATATTGTGATAATTGTTTTTATTGTCCAGCCCTAGCTGCAACTAACGATTTATTTCATTATCGACTAATCTGCTTACTATTTTCACGATTAATCGACTAATTGTCTACTTTGTAAAGATTTCAAGAAATTGTGAAAAATGCTTATCACAATTGTCCAACCAACAGTCCAAAACCCAAAGACTCTTCATTTACTGCCATAAATGACAAAGAATATCAGCAATTCCTCACATTTAGGAAGATTAAACCTGCAATGTTTCACATTTTTGTTTTAAAAAATAACTGAAAAGATTAATCGATAAAAATAGTTGATTAATTTTCTTTGGATCGACTGATCGATTAATCGTTGCATCTGTACTACGATGGAAAAACAGAAGCTGATCGATAACGCTAAACAAAACTTCTGCTGATTCATTTTCTGATGTCATAGTTGCAGCTCTTGTTATTTTGACATTTAAACAAACGATAAAGATAAGCTGGAGACAGAGGTGGGGGACTCGAGTCACATGACTTGACTCGAGTCGCAAACTTGAAGACTTGAGACTTGCTTGACTAAACCAGACAAAAGACTCGACTTTACCTTGACTTGGTGTTCATGACTTGAGACTTGACTTAGACTTGAGACAGATGACGTGAAAATGACTTGATTTTTTTAAAATTAAGTTTACGTTCGCTCATTCCAACGTTTGCAGTATAATCCTGCAACCATGTGTGCTTTCACATCTCCGTAACAGGGGCGTAGAAAAAGAACGTTTACGTTACGTATACAACACAGACATTCAAGGATTATGTTGTCGATGACGGTAGGAAGAAAAGGAGGTCTGCAGCTCAAAAATCTGTGACACGACCACCACCACATCCAACTTCATCCGTCAATATAGAACCTATAAAGAAAGGTACGTTACGTGACTGCAACTTTTTAGTTAACTTATAGGCTGATCGAACACACAGAGAGCTAGCGTTAAGAGGTTTTCACATAAAGTTACAAACTGCAGCCAAACAACTGGGTGTAGCTTTAACTTAACATTCCTGGTGGTCTGGATGACTTCGTTATGTGCACACAGCTGCTATATTAACTTCATAACGTTACTCATGATCCACCGTTTGAAAGCTAAATCCTCGTGATTCGACCAATGCAAACCATTTCAAGACAGAATCAGCGCCTCTGTCAGACCAACAAGTACAATCAAAATTGACGCGACTCACCTATGAAGCATCATAGTAATCCACCGATCGATTATATTCCAACAAAAATGGTCTTGTTAAGTTGTCAAAAGTCCAGATGATCCAAACCAGTAAAAACATTTATTCCAAAACACATTATTCCATCAATAAATCCCCAGGGACGGCTGCCACATAGTTTCATATTTGCCGGCAAACGTGGCTAATATGTCATTATAACCGTAATAACTCAAATTTGAAACCAATGCTATATCTTGTATTCAAATTAGCCGCTGAACTCTGACCTTTCGAGTGACAGCTAATTCATTAATTGCGAGCCCGCGCTGTAAGGAAGGGCCATCCCCTGTTATTTTGTGGGTGGGCCGAGCCCATAGCAACCAGTAGTGCAGATGACTGGCACTTCGTGTAGTCAATAAAATTCTGAAAATAACGATATCCAGCTTTAAGTAGGAAGTTCATGATCTACCAGCAAAAAAACACGTCTGCGTCAATCTACCGGCTGATACGGCGTGATGCAGCAGCCACGTGCCGCCAAGGGGCGGTGCTGTTTTAGAAAAAATACGCTGAGACATAACCTCAGAAAAACCTGTGTAAAATCATTTTTTATGGTATTGGTATAAAATTTAAACTTGGACTAGGTGAGGCTTTATGCCGTGGCCCCACAGTGTTTTCCAGCTAATAAGTCCCAGCTGTAGTTGTCGCCATCATGCATTTGTAACTTTTTTCAAGGGTAAACAAAAAATATATTAAATATAGTTTAAAACGAATTTTACAGGAATGGTAAGAAAGAGGTTACTGTTACTGAACCTTGTTTCTATCATTCTATTTTTCTACCCCATTTCAATAATCAGTGAATCTAATAGTAGACTAAATAATACGCCTTTTATATTTCAATATAGTTAGGACAGAAACACTGATCATACAGTTGAATTGCCACCTCTCTTAAAGTGCTTAAATTAACTGAATTCCTAAGAATTTCATATGACTTGTGACTTGCTTGAGGACTAAACATAGACTACAGCCTCATTTGTCACTGACATTAGGGCTTTAACTGTGTCGTATGTTGTAGTGATGATGATGTGATGCTCTGAGAATCTGCCCGTCACTTGGCTGCAAAGTCACGACTCACGTTTTTCAGATCTCCATCAGATGGTTTCCCTCCAGTAACACTGCTCTAAGTGACGGCTGCACTGAAGCACATGGACTGCATGGCGTCCTGTAAATTATTCTGCTGTTTTAAATTAAAATGAGTAGAAGCCAGCATTTACACAGCACTACTCCCCAACAGGAATCAGACGTAGTGCATTTAGTTCATGTTACGCATGTTAAAGCCTGAGCTTATATAATAGAGAGGGTTACATAACGCAGTGGTGGGCAGACAGTGTCGTGCTCTGGACTCATCACCATCACATGGACTCTGTATTGTTTCTTTCGTGTTCAGCTGTCTAATTACTCCAGATTACACTGTGTCAGGGGATAATGAGACAAAATCCAGTCACATTAAACATCAGATTACATGTTTCCTGTTGCTGACAGGCAGTGAGCAGGTACTTTCTCAAGCACAGTTTGACAGGACTGATGTCTGGAGGTTTTCCACATTTAAATCTCATCACAAAAAACGTAGCTCATCTGATGGAATCTGATTTTGTGAGGCTAATTTTCGAGGGTGATGAAATGATTTTGATCAGACACTAGGAGAGAGACGTGAGGCAAAGAGACTGGGACAGGTACATCTGACAACAGACATCGTAGTTTAGCTGCTGATTTGTGCCGCTTCTCAAATTTCAGCATTGACTCCGACAAACTCTTGGGTTCAAACCTTGGTCGTCCCACGCCTTTCTGTTAGGGCTGCACAATTAATCGAATATCGATCGCGGTTACGATTTTAGCTTCCCACAATTAAATGAACACGTTCGACAGCGATATCACCATTTAAAATGCGTGCTCCACACATGGAAAACTGCATATCAAATGGAGCACTTCCTAAATATACAGCCAAGGGGCCGATTTGGCTGCGGGCGCACCCTGCTGCTGCTACATTCCAGAGTAGAAGCAAAGTCCACGAGTCCGCATGTGTCCGCTGGTCCACGGCTGCCGGAGCTGGTCGCGGCCCTTCTAGTCAATGCTTGGGAGTCCATCAGAAGTCTATTTTTGACGGAAGCCGTGTCAAGGTGTACAGAGCAGATCGAACTGGGCAGGAAGTCAGACACAGAACAGGATTGAGAATCCAGTGAATTTTCAAAATAAAACGCCCTGTGCATACTCCCGATCATAAATCAACAGAAAACACAGTTAAAACAGATTAAAAAAAAGAACCATTTAGCTACATAGCCTACTTAATCATAGAAGAAGCACAAAAAGCAAGCACCGATTACAAAATCTAAACATGTCAGCAAAATCAGGCAGGCCAAACGCTTTGATTCCGAAATGCTCCCTGATGCAGCCCTGCAGACAACCGAACAAAACCGGGTCGCAGAGAGCCGTTGCTGGTAAGCAGAGTAGAAGCTACAGGTAGAAGCACACAAAGGCCAAAATAACAGCAAGACAAAAACCTGCTCAGCTCCTGAAATGAGTCTGAGACGCTTCTGGATGGATGGATGGACTCACAGCTTATGGATATTAGGGCACTTTAAAACCCTTCACACCCGATTGCTGCAAAAAAAAATGTAATAACCCAGTTAAATCTGAACACACAGATTTTAGATTCAGTGTGACTTACACTTTGCAAGTACGAAAAGAAAAATACTAATACCTCATTGTAAAAATACTCTGTTACAAGTAAAAGTACTGCATTGAAAATGTTAAGTAAAGGTATATATATGTAATAAGAAAAAGTACTCAATGCAGAAAAATGTCCGACTGTATTATTATATCATTAGATTATTATTCCTCATGCATTAATCTAAAAGCAGGATTTTACTTCTGTAGTTGGTTGAGGTTGAACTATTTTGTATCAGACTGCAATTAGTTTTCTCCATTAATCGATTGTAAAGAAATTTAAAAATGGTGAGAAATGTTGTCAGTTACCCAAAGTGTCGCCTTCACAACGCTTGTTTTCAGTCCAAACCTCTGGACGATTAAAAATAAATAAAAACGATCAAAAAGAAAAGCAGAGAATTACAAATAATCATCAAAATAGTTGCTAATTAAATTTCTGTCAGTTACCTAATATACTAGCTGTACTGATATAAACTGTTGGGTAGTTTAATTTATAACAAAATATCATATTTTATAAAAATCTTAATTTGTAAAGTACCTGAAGCTGTCCGATAAATGTAGTGAAGTAAAAAGTACAATACATCCCTCTGAGATGTGGTGGAGTAGAAATGGAAAGTGGCATGAAAAAAATATACTCAAAGCACAAATACTTGACTGCAGTATTTGTTTGAAACATTTTTTTCAATATCAAATAGAGCTGCACAATATATCATTTCAGCAACGGCATCGCAATGTGCAATAGTCACATCGCAGAACTATGCGATGTTAAGCAAGTCAAATTAACTCCACCTCAACTTCTTTTGCTGCTTGATATAAAAGTAAAACTAGCGGAGTTCCCATTTTCCATGAGTAGTCTACAAGAAAAGTCTGATGTAACATAAGTTTATTTGAGTGCAAAGGATAGATTGCACTCAGTCTTCATGCTAAAAAGAAATATTTTCTGTGCATTTTCCCTACAAAATGTATAATTATTGCAGAAAAGAAAAATATTGCAATGTCAGTTTTTTCCAATATTGTGCAGCCATAGTATCAAAGTAATCCAGTGGTAGTTGTCAAGTCAAATTCGCAAATGTCACTCCGCACCCAAACATGAACAATCTCAGCAAAACCACCTGAACACTTCCTGTCCTGCAGGAGTGATCTACCAGACAGCGATTGCAAAAGGAAAAGCTTTTATAACGGAGCATAAAGAAAAGTTTTTAAAAAGTCTCATGAACTGTCCCCGTAGGGTTCTGTATGAGGGGAAGGAGCCGCTGAAGCAGGGCTGGTACGTCATCGAGACGACGCCCTACAGCCGCTCGGCCAATCTGAGCTCGGGCGGCGCCCCGACGGCTCACCGGGTGTTCCTGATGTACCGACGGGCTCTGGACTCACAGGGCCTCCACATGCTGGGCGTCACTGACATTGCCCTGCTGCTGCCCAGCAAGGGAGAGGTGGCCCCGCACACCTTCTGCCGGGTCGACAAGAACCTCAACACCGGCATGGTGAGTACCGAGTCGTATTTGGGAAGTGTTTCAGCTGTGGATAACATGCTAAATTCTCAAATAATTAAAGCAAGGGGAAGTTATTGGCACCTGTAATCTAAGGATTACATCTAAGATGATAAAACATAATAATATGACTAATATATAAGAAAAATGTAACAAACATTTTTCCTTTGCTGCAGCAACAGTTGTGTCAAACTCAGTTTACCAGTTTACTCGTTCTGCCGTTTGTGAAGCTGCTGTAAGTGAAACTCAACGCTTTCTAAATTAAAACCATTTCTGGTTGCTCTAACAGCAATTTCAAGTGACTAAAAGGGAAAAAAATGAGAAAAATAATAATAAAAGCTTCGATTCAAACATCTCGTCAGAAGGCTGCAATTGAAATGAGCAAACACATTTAGAGAAATTTACAGAAATAAAAATTACTTGTAGCCTCTCTTACAATAACTTCCAGGGACCATATTACAGAAAGTTTCTCGCTTAAGTTAAGGTAGGAAGAGTCTAAGATAGGATTTTACCCAATTTGGTATTACAGAAGCAAATCCTAGCTAACTTTAGGAATCCTGTCTTATCTCAGGTTATAAAATCCTAAATACTCAATCCAACATCGGTGATCAACTTTTCTGCCTGTTACCTAGCAACTGATCCCACTTTTCTCATCCCGCCGAGCTAAACGGCTTTTAATCGCTGTTTTTTGGTCGTTTTTTAAATGAAATAAGCTGAAAATGGAGGAAATCCACGTAACGCTCGTCTGGTTAGATGAAAGAGAGAGAGTGGGCTAAAATAGCGGACACAGTCACCGCCACATATCAAAAAGAAAATAACCTACTGACCAGTGATACGAAGAGAAAGGCAGCTGCTGTGTCCAAAGGTCAGAGGAACCCGGTGGTGGCTCCTCCTGTGCTCCCTAACTGACCCCGGCAGAAGCCCGTACTCATCTGGGCAAAGTTAATAATGACGGTAACAATAATAATAAAGGCTGCGGGCTAAGGTCATCATGTTTTCATGTATTTCTAGTCTTTAACAGTCTCCTCCTACCAAAGACTTGCATTAGGATCCTTTTGTTACACCAAGCCTTTACATTATTTTATCTAATGACATTATCCGGCGTTACGTCGCCTACAGCCTTCTGCTAACGAGTGTTTGGTCATCAAACACGTGGGTAGAATCAGTTAATAACCATGTGGATTAAAGAGTTAGCAAAGACTACCTGGTGGAAAAGTAAAGTTAGGACAGCTTAACAGTTCTCCTAAACTTAGGATGCTTCTGTAATACACTTTTCTTATCTAAAGTTAGGAAAGGAACATTGACTTAGGAACTGTTAATCTGCAACGGCCTTTTTCCTAAATCAGTTCCTAACACTTGTTACCATGGTAACCAAGCAGTTAGGATAGGATATGCTGGTTAGGAAGTTTCTGTAATACGGCCCCCGGTTCTCCAGTCCAACCTAACTTGAAAATGCCTATTCTATGAATTCTATCTGTGAAATATTATTAACGCTGTTTTGTTTTAATAAAAAATATATAATTGAATATTTTGTGTGTTTGTCTGCAGTGGGGTCCAGCCCTGTATGTGTGCTACAAGAGAGCTGTGGCCAAAGCCAACGCCCTGGTCTACAAGGCCAGTGAGTATCTGTCACTTTCTGAACAACAAAGCCAGAACAAAACTAAGAAAATCTTGATCAGTCTCATAATTGTGCCCTACAACCAATGGAGTACAAAACTAACATAACCCGGGTCAGAATGGCATCAATTATGATTATGTTGTAAAATCCTGGAATTTTCCTTTAAGGAAGTTTATTTAAAGGATAATTTGGGTGTTTTTCAACGTGGTTTATTTTATCCCCTATTTTGGTGTTCAAATGACGAGTAGATACAAAAAGCTTTCGAATCCATGCAGATTGGGCTTCAGTCTACAGCTGCTAATGCTCCGGGAAAACGAGGGAGTTTGTTGTGTACCTAAAGGAACTGCCAGCAAGATGATCTCTTCTCTCGCGTTCCCACCGGCATCTCCCTGCAACAACTCGCCTCTCATGACATTTCAGAGAAAGAACTACCGTTGAGTGAGACTTCAGTTTAGTTAAAAAACAAAGGGGGTCACCAGGAGTAGGGATCCTTTCCATGATGTTGTCAGGTTCAGCACGGTTCAGCTGCCGGCTTCAACATCTACTGCACAGATACAAATCTTTTTGTACCTACTAGTCATTTCAACCAACACTTGTAAAAAAAATCTATCTTAATTTTTCTCAGTTGAATAGTTTGTTCAATTAAACCTTTATTTTTGGTTTAGTAAAATTTAGAATAAAGATTCTAAATATTTTATGTCAGTGTCTTAAGAAAGCAGTCAAGTTATTCACATGACCTTCTAGACAATCTGTCAAGTGAAATGTTTGAAACGATCAGCTGAAGGTTTTGATTTTAGTCAATCATACTTTAAAAGTTGTGTTTTATTAAGGATTTCTTAAATACTTCCATAGTTCTTGTACATATTAGGATCCAAGAGTAAACAGATTACTTGCTGTGTGCTGCAGGTCTTATCAGCCGGTACCCAGAGGAGGACCTGGAGGCGTTTCCTCTGCCGGAGTCGGTGCCGGTCTTCTGTCTGCCGATGGGTGTCACTGTGGAGAGCTGGCCTCTAAACACCAAGTACCAGCTGCCTGTCTTCTCCACCTTTGTCCTCACCTCCGCCTCCGGGGACAAGGTTGGAGCAGCAACGACACACACACTCTTTTCTGCTTAAGAATAACCACAAGCAAGAAATACTTTATTGATCCCAGAGGGGGAATTTGTTTCATTACAGTTGCTCATATAACAAGACATGAAAGAAATGGAGATAGTTAGTTAGAAATGTAAAAATGTGTGTTGAATTATGTACATTATAAAATACTGATAAACAAAAATCCAACAAGTGAGATGAAAGAAAATAAGCTAGAAAGTTGTAAAAAAGTACAAGCGGGAGCAAATTCGACAGGCTGAATGCATGGTCAGCCCATGGGACATATATGGGACAATATTATCAATTTGATTAATTTTGTAATTATGTACTATTTGTATTTACTTCACAAATGATAAAAACAGTTTACATATAAATTCTTTTTTATGCATTTCGTCCAAACATCAGTCACTGTCCCACAGAATGCAGTGGTAAATCCTGCTGGTTTGGTTTTGAACTGCAGTCCACGCAAGTTTCTGAACACAGTCATCGTGGTGTGTGGACTACAGTTTTGAAGCCTTGAGTTTGGCAGTTTAGCGGTCGTCATCTTGATGATTTTTTTTTCTGGAATCCAGGCACCGGACGTGACAATATTTAGACGAGAGGGTGGAGCTAGCGACTTGTCAATCACCTCCTAGCCCCACCCTGAAGCCTCCCCTGCTTTCTGGTCTATGTTCCTTTAAATTGGGCCATAATTTACTAAATGAACATCATGCTGTGTTGAAGAAGACTTGAAACTAACGACTGAGACCATAAACTCATCAGGAAAGTGTTTACTGAGGGAATAAATCAGCTGAGAAGTAGAAACATTTTCTCATAGACTTCTATACAATCGCACTTCTTTCTGTAGCCAGTGGAGTTGCCCCCTTCTGGCTGCTAGAGAGATCGCAGGTTTAAGGCTCTTCCCCACTGGCTCCACTCATGAGAGCATGAAGTTGCTGCTTGTGGAGAACAGAAGCTTGTACACTAATATGCAGGGAGCACTATATGGAGCTAGAATTGTGTCTTTATTACATGCGAGAAAATAAATGATCTGAGTAGTTGTTATTGGTTAGAATGAACACATGCTTAATGTAGACGGAGGAGGTTGGTTTTGTGTTCATTAACCCATAAACTGAAGCAGACAGAAAAAAATGTTAACTTCCACGAGAACTGGACAAGAGATTGTTTTGTCAATGGCTGTTTGACTGATCATATTATGTTCAGTCTGTAAAATGTTAGAAAGTACTGAAAGATGTCATGAGAGGTGAAGTCTTTAAGTTGTCCAAAACTGAAAGATAAGGAGAGTTTGCAGCGAAATAAAATAGTTTAATCTGTTTTATTTTGCTGCAAACTCTCCTTATCCTGGAAGTTAGACATTTAGGTTTCCTTCTGTGTACTCCCTTTGTGAAACCTCTTCCGCTCTCCCTGCAGGTTTACGGCGCAGCCATCCAGTTCTACGAGTCGTTCTCCAGGGAGCTGCTGTCGGAGCGGCAGAGCGTGCTGCTCGGGCTGCTCAGCGTGGTCGACCGGCGGCCGATCACCAGCCGCAGCCTGCAGGTGAAGAAGAGCATCTGCGTCCTCTCCCACTGGCCCTTCTTCACCGTCTTCCAGAAGTTCCTCACCTTCGTCTACAGATACTCCATCTCCGGGCCCCACGTCCTGCCGCTTGAAAAGTCAGTGCACGGTTCAGCTTCCAATTCATGTTTCAGATTTAGATTGAATCAGATCTGCTGCTGGCATAATATCAATATTATATGATAAAGGGAAGACCCCAATATGAACTCGTTCTAATGAGACATTTTGACTGAATCTGCATGAATTTTTCATCAGTGTTTAGTGAAAGCAGTATCTTCATTTGAGTCTCCAGATTGGGTCAAATGATATGTAGAGATAAATAATACATTCTGTGATAAAAGTGTGAACACTAGTCAGATAATTATCAGAATCAGAAATACTTTATTGATCCCAGAGAGGAAATTCGTCTTGTTTGAATTGCTCACTTTCAGCTCCTGACTGATAACAATTACGGATCCCCATTTGCATTGGCTGTTGTGACTGGGATCAATTCAACTGTATGTTCATTATAAAACACTGACGGTCAGAGTGCTGGACAGAGTTTTTTGTATGAATAAAATCTAACTGAAAATAAACTGCAGTTTAACACGGCTCAGTGTTTCCCACAGAATGACAGTGCAGTTGTAGTGGTGGGGGTGTATATTTGTATTTTTTGTTTGAAAGAATACATTATTTTTTTTATCTCACCATTTTAATTCTACTTAATTCTCCACCTTACACCTTACTACAGTAATCTCCTCACCTTATTATTATTATTATTATTATTATTATTATACCTTATTAAATCCACAAAGTGCATTTAGAAAACCGTGTACACCATGAAGACGCCGTCTGGAGGTTGGACCAGATCTGACGGATGCAGCCGCCTTGTAATTCTCTGTGCAGGAAAAACCCTGCATGCTCTTTTGAATTGTGGAAAGAAGTGTGATTGATATTTGTATTGATATTTAATGATGTGTGTGCTTTTTTTCCCCTCTCTCTCTGCAGACACATCTCAAGCTTCATGCACAACGTCCCGTTTCCATCCCCCCAGCGGCCCCGCATCCTCGTTCAGGTAGGGACCGCAACTCAAACCTGCAGTATGTGATGTCTGGTGCTCGTTGGGACCATGCATTTCCACATAGAGGAAGTCTGAAAGTGTTTTTAACATGAACGGCCTGACAAAAAGAGAACCGTCCATAAACGCAAGAAAAAACAAAACCCGAGTCTTTACAAGTTAGGAGAAAACAGCTTCATCAGCCATATTTGGGAGTTGGTGTGCGATTTTAAGACGCATCACCCACCCCTAATGAATACTGTTACGCAGAGTAAGTGTTTGGTCATTAGTATGATGAGCTGATGTTTGTCTTCAAAACCAACAATGTGTTTGTCAACACCTCCTGACTTCCTGTCTGTGGCTCTCAGCTCCAAGCCCACTGGTTCCTACTGAAGACCTAAATCTTTAAAAATAACACCTCCTAAATATACAGTTTTCAGAAATTGACTTTATGGGTTGAAGAAAGGGGCAATAAGATTTTGTGTTTTCATATTGAGAAATGTGGTTGTATATTTAAGGTGATCTTAAACCTGTGGGGGTGAAAAACTAACTCATGAATGAGGAATTCAAATAAAACTTCACAAAACTCTCTGTAACTGCCATAGCATGCGTTTTCTAAAACTACAAATCTATTCTACACATGAAATTTGGGTGTCGTCTGTATGATTATTCATGTTGATCTTATTGTCTCGTGTAATTTCGGGCCTCATGAAAACAAATCAAAGAGGACCCGGGATTGAGCCATGTGGAACTCCACACTTCATGTTGGTCTGCTCGGATGCATACTATAGTTATCAAGTCGGACTGAATAACTCCACTTATGGACTGTCTGAGAGCCAAACCAGTTCTCCAGTATGTCTGGTAGTATTGTGATATTAACCATATCAAAGGCAGCCCTACAATCCAATAAGACTGAAATCCTGACCCGAGTCAGTTTCTTAGCAAATGTCATTCAGAACCACAAGGTTAAAAAGTTCTCTAGTTTCTGGTAAACTACTTTCTAAATTAATTTACTTACAAAGGAAAGTTTTGAAAGGTCTGTAGTTGCTAATAACATATGTTTGTTGGAGACCCCTCTTTAAGAAACTTGATGGCTGCAGTTTTCAAGGCGTTAGGAAAATGTCTTGATGACAGACTTTTTGACTATTTGCTGCTCAACACAGGAAAGAAGAAAATAAATATATTTGAAGTAAAACAACACATGTTTATAAAAACAGGATCAGAGGAAGCCGGCACAGAGATTGTATTATTTCTGACTTTAATCCTTCACATTCCTCCTTCAACAGGATGTAGGTGGTGATCTGGCCGCAGCCTGAACAGGGTAATTGCGCCCAATCAGAAACCCATTTATTGATAGTTTCCAGTTCGCGGACACATTTCTTGACATCATTCTTTCAATGAGAAATAATTCACTGATGATCTTATCGTGGTTCAGATGTGATTTCACTCAGCTGCATGCACGTGGATAATCATCAACATGGGCGACAATTGAGTTGGTAGTTTTGTGTTTGTGTGTCGAGGTTGGGATTTACTTGGCTATAATTTTCCCTCTAAATGTTGTTGTAATAAAATTTCCTGCTTGAGCCAAACAATCCTATAGAAGACCAATTTTTGGTTATAAGAACATTTTACTCACCAGCTGAGTCCATCAGTGAAACAGCACAAGGAGGAGGGGGCAGTTTACTCAGGTTTCAGTTGTTTTGGAGGTGAAAACACAGGTGGTCATGTGACCCAACCTACCTGTTAAACCTTAGACGTTCAGTAGATCTTCCTGCTTCAGCTAAACAGATAACGGACATTTGAGGGGGCTTTTATATCTGCCATCAAAATGCATGTCGCATCAGGATATGATTTTAACCTGATTTAAATTTACACCTGAGGTTCTGTGTCTCAATTCAGATAGTTGGTACACTACCATGTAGTACACTATGTACCTACTTGCGTTGTGGGTTGGGTGCCAGAAATGGAAACTTAAGTTCTGCCTGGCAACTTTCTTTATAGTTTGTACTCCTTTCTGTTGTTTTTAGTATTTTATATTGAGTTTAACTGATCAGCGCGTGAGCTCACGTTCAAAATTGTATACGTTCGGTTCACCAAAAACATGAGCACGGTCATAAACAACACTGTATGGACACGCTGCCTGGATCAGTGCGTTTTGGTGCATTTACAGCTGTATTTTCACGAGGTCAAGCAACATTAGACGCCAGATTAATTAATGCCAGGTGTTTCTCTTCAGTTTAGATAAACTGTAGATTTGTTTAAAACCTGTCCGACAGCTCGCAGAGCTCTCTCTCACCCTGTGGGATATATTTGATTAATATTCAGCTTCCAGGGATGAAGTTGGTGAGTGAAATCTTCTCAAAACTGAAGGAGCGATGAAACTGTTGTAAATTAAATAGCTAATTACTCAAAATCAAATCACAAACAAATATCCCATCCTCGCGTCTGTGTTTATTCTGTATAACATTGAATTGCCTGTATCTTCCAGCTCTCTCCGTACGACAACCTGCTGCTCTGCCAGCCGGTCTCCTCTCCACTCCCACTCAGGTCAGTTTACTGTTGCAGCGCTGCAGTGGGAATCACGATAAGTCGTTGGGAACAGAAGCTAGAATTCATCTATAATAGGAAGTTACTTACAGGGACTTTTGGCGGTAAAATAAAGTCCTCAGAGCTTAATTTAGACCCTTGTCCCTTCGGTGGTGCTATTTCCTGTATAAAGTTCCTCTTGTCAACAATGGTCTTATTAAGTCTTGCATGTGCACACACCAACCTTAATAATGTCACAGACAGTTTTGAAAGTTACCCTGAACGCACAGCTAGCCGATGTCCTGTTATTTAACTATTATTTGTGCGTGTGACAGCGGTGCAAGCTTCCTGAAGCTGCTGCAGAACCTCGGCCCAGAAAACGCCTGCACGCTGCTGCTCGCCGTCCTCACTGAACACAAGCTGCTTCTGCACTCGCTCCGCCCTGACGTCCTCACCTCCGTCAGCGAGGCCCTCGTCTCCGTAAGACTTAAGCACACACAGACAGAAACATGCTGAGTGTATTTAATGAGGTCTAAAATAATGTGTGTCTCTCCAGATGAGCTTCCCTCTACGCTGGCTCTGTCCCTACATCCCTCTGTGTCCGCTGCAGATGGCTGATGTGCTTCTGGCGCCGATGCCCTTCATCGTGGGCGTCCACTCCAGCTACTTTGACCTATATGACCCCCCCACTGATGTGGTGTGTGTTGATCTGGACACCAATACCATATTCCAGTAAGTCCATCACGCTTTGTGCTTGATAGTTGAGCTGATGTTGCTTTTTAATTGTACGTAACCACATATGTATACAGATGTAGAGCAGGGGTAGCCAACACAAAAATAACTAGTTTAACATTGCATATAACATTTTTAAAAATCAGTTTATTATGTATGAGTAATTTATAACTTTGACCCTTCTTTGACTCCGTAAAATATGCATAAGTGGGTTCTTGTGATGTGCAGAGTTATATCTGCAGATTGGTGGGTCTTTATCATAAAAATGTATATTTGGATAAATAGCGGGAGGGTTGTGGATTAGATGAATCTTCTCCTCAGTACAAAGACGCAGCAGCATAACTTTATTGATTATCTCCCAACACTCCGACAAGACTGGTCAGGACCATGGACTGTATAAAAGAAGTGGACGTAATTGTGACATCACCCGTTGGTTTGTGGACTACCGTTCTGAAGCCTCAAGTTTGGCCAATAGGGCGCCACAATGTTGAGTTTTTGCAACCAGCGACACCGGACGTGACCATGGCTGCGTCCGAAAGGTCTTTTTTGCTTAGGAAGATTCCTAACTGAGTGAAGTGACCCGGAAGTATTTCAGTGGCAGCCATGATAAGAGCTGGTTGAATTCTCCAATAGCTAAGGAAAGGTGACTCAATGCTTCCTTTCATATCTCCTTTAGCATAGGGTACACCGGACCATCCTTTACGAAAGGAAAGGAAGAGAATGCCGTCCCACAATTCCTTGCGGCAGCAACATTTAAAGCGGCTCACTTTCTCATACTCAAACGATAAAATCCATTGACCACATTTAGCAAAATCCTTGCAACACAGACGCACATTATGATAGCTGAATAAGACTCACAATTTCCTTCTTTCTTTTTGCTGTGCTGTAATCTGAAGCTGTTTCAACACCATTTTATGATTTGGATTGTTGAAATAAGCTATGAAGTGTTTTCTACAATAATAAAAAAGAGAAATCACGCACCATGACCGATAAAAGATGTTAAAAATGACCATTTTCTCTTATGCTATGCTAATATGCATAGCCTATGACTTGAACTGTCAACAATAACTGAGACCCATGCGAGCTGTGTTACTAGTCTTGTAACGTGATCAAAGTGATAATGTTGCGGCATGTAGGTTCACGTTACGCATTTCCAGCTTTCAGCAATTGCATTAATTGATTTTACTTCAGTCACAGATGCTGACACCCTCGCCTTAATAAAAGCAATGATCAAGCTGGATGACCTCTACAGTAAATGTAATGTATTACTTCAGTGTTGCCCACACGCTGATTTCTTTGTGGTGGCCTGCCACATTATTAAACGCTGAGTGCGTTTTCTTACTTAAATGGGCAGCGCTCAGCACCCCCCCCCCCCATTACGCTGTCATACTGTACGTGTTTACAAACAATAATTGGGATAAATGTTGATAAATGTGGGTGGGCAGGAGGGTGAGCAAGTATTCTCAATGTGTCAACCCTTTCCAGTATTTGGTGACTGTTACCTTACAGGCCTTTTTGCTATCTTGATTATGAAGTACTTATAAATTCCACCATGTAATTACGTCGCCTAGAAAAGAGCAGTCGGATTCTTTCCTAAGTCCTTATGTATTCTCCTTCACATCTTTCTGAAGAGTCGCCCCCTGCTGGCTGTTCGATAGAATGCAGATTTCAGGGACCGCATTCATCAGTTTGCTGACAGGAAGCTTCCCGCTTGGTCAAAATGAACTGACACAGCAGCCTCTCATAAAAGGATTGTAAAAGGAAATTGTTAAACACAGATTGAATTCTATTTACGCATGATTCATGACGATAAGGATACAGAAAAATAGAAACGCATGGCAAAAAATATTGTCAATATTTTAGAGACTCCCCAAAATTTCACAGATCATGTTTCCAGGAGAGCTCCCGTCTTAAGAGGAGCAGAGCTCCCCCTTAGTTTACACCCTGTCTACAATCTCAACCATCAAATCCAGCAACAGGAAATCACATGACTCTTTTACTCAGATTTGTGTTTCTGCTGCTGAAATGTTTCACGATGTTGGTGAATTATTAAAAAAACAAAACGCCACATAAAACACGTTGGAAAGTGCTGAGATTGTAACGGGATCTCCCTTCCTTCTCGTGTGTCAGGCTGGAGGACAAGAAGCCTTTGTCGTGGCGATCGTTACCCAGGAAGCCCGGCAAGACCCTGTTCAACACCCTCACCAACCTCAACAAGACCCTGGAGAAGAGTGAGTAACAGCTCACATCACATTGACTGATAAGACAGCTTTTCAAAATAAAGTAACGAGAGTGGTTCAGAGACAGCAGACGTGCTGTAACAGGCTGTTTAACAAGCTCTTCCTACTTAGTTCCTTTTTTGTTTGCGGTGTCCGTGCATTTTAAAACATTGAATATATCACACATCAATATAGATAGTTGAATACTTTATTGGCTCACCTCCTCTAAGCGGAGAATTTTATTTATTTTTTTAATTGTAAGCTCTGCAGTATTTTCCCTTTTTTCTCTCCTCGTTGCTGCAGTTTGCAGTCCCGGTCAGGAGGAGGCGACGCTGGAGTTCCTGTTGACCGACTACGATCAGATCTACAGGAGTCAGAAGCAGCTGGAGCTGGAGATCCAGGAGGCGTTCCTTCGCTTCATGAGCTGCCTGCTGCGAGGATACCGAACCTTCCTGCTGCCCATCACCCAGGCGCCGTCGGACACCACCACCGACTGCAGCTCCCTGTTCAACTTGCAGGGTGAGGAGCTGATGGTCAAGATATAGGGACTATAAAATCTTTATTGTTTAACACTCTTCATATGGTATAATGATGATGTGAGATCTTGTGTTATTTTGCAGCAATTGTCTATTGAAACGATTCAGAGAAACCTGTAAAGACTTTCAAGGGTTTGGTGTCGGATTCAACCGGATGGCCCAGCCCTGATTTATAATTTTGATAATTATTACATTTTGCCAGTTATTAAGTAAAAATGCAAAATATTTGTTGGTCGTAGCTTAAACAAATCTTTTTGGCTGGTGATCTGACTGATAACAAAGTTAGTCTAAATTCTCACTAATAGAAGCAGTGTTATTAAACCCAATTATGGTTGGAAGAAACTAGGGTTGGGCGACGTCTACAAAATTTCCATCAGACGATGTCTGCAATGAGACACCGGGATGGATGTTGTCATCAGGTGCGCGGGGGGCAGCAGTCGTCTTATGTGCATTTGTTCTCGCACAGACTTCACTAGGTAAAAGAAAATTGTTAGACTTACATTACAAGTCTTGGTAGGTTGTCAAGGACAGCTGGGACAAGGAATATGATGCGGTAGATATCTACCTGCCAAAAGACCTCAAACAGGAGTGGAGCTAAAAATTTAAAGTTTGGGTTTTGAAAGGGTTGTTTGCAGAGGATGTGAAGAGTCTTTGTTTTGAATGTCTACAGGAAATTGCATGGAAAAACAAAAAATACAGTGGGCCAGATGTTGGGCAGACAAACGGACAAACTGTGGCACCAACAGTCCTGGAGGAAATTGGTTTCAGAATGAGCTTTTTTGGCAAGTCTGTTCTAGGCAGTCAGGGAATTTGCTTTGGTGCATAACAGTAAACATAAATCTCATATAAAAGAAAAATGAATCCTTTGTGCCATATGGCAGTTATTTACATGTGCATCATATTTGTATGTACAAACATTTACCGTTTGTACTGTGAAAGGGTGATGAGGCCAGCTGCAGATGAAAAGAAGCTGTTTGTGTGGCCTGCCCGAGGGGAGAGTCTTAAACAGTGGCGTGAGGAGTCGGCCACAATCTTGCCTTACAGTGCTGGAGGCGTACAGGTCCTGAAGGGAATATAGATTGCAGCCAATCACCTTCTCTGCAGCGTGAATGATACGCTGCAGCCTGCCCTTGTCCCTGGCAGTGGCAGCAGCTAACCAGATGGTGATGGAGGAGGTGAGGATGGACTCAATGATGGCGGTGTAGACGTGCACCATCATTGTCTTTGGCAGGCTGAACTTCTTCAGCTGTCGCAGGAAGTACATCCTCTGCTGGGCCTTCTTGGTGAGGGAGGTGATGTTTAACAGTCAGGGATTTAAAAGCACTAAATTGTAAAGTGGATATAGAAGAATAAATAAAATGGATTATTAGACTCACTGCAGGTAAGGCAGAAAACTTTGCTGGCTCTGCTGACAAATCTTTCTTTACAGTACGAGGAACAGGACAGTCACAGTCATGTTGTTCTATCATAAAAAATGTCATCACATCTCAAACCTAAACGTCTGTGTCTGGCTCTGATTGATTTTATCCTCTCCTCCTCCGTCCTGCAGGTTTCCTGAAGTCTCGGGATCGAACGCAGCAGAAGTTCTACACTCAGCTGACGAGGACTCAGATGTTCACTCAGTTCATCGAGGAGTGCTCCTTCGTCAGCGACCGACACGCCTGCCTTGAGTTCTTTGACGAGTGCGTCCAAAAGGTCAAAGCCACGATTTGTCAGAGAAACATGTCACTGATTTATCATTTACAGCTTCCTGCTGTATCTGTACAGTAGGGCTGAACGATTAATCGTTTTCAAAGCGAAACTGGGATTTGAAAAAGCGTGATTAGCTAATCGTGAAGACGCCGATTTAAAATGTGGGTTAATTATACATCTGACCCGTTTTAAACAGTCACGCAGTTACAAATTCAATCTGTTGTCGTCCTTGTGTGACAGACTTGCCAACCAATCACAAGTGCCATGCTTGTCCTGTTACGGTCCTACTCACCAATCAGAGCGGGCACAGGGCGTGTACATTTTATACAACAAACCAAACTGAGGAAAACTTTGGATAATGGCGTCAGCCGAACAGACACAGGCAGTGGCTGTGCCGCGGTTTTCTCTCACATGGAGCATTTCAGAATAACAGCTTTTTGCTGACTTATTCAGATTTCGTTAATTTGTTCAGCTGTCCTTCTATCATGATTAGGTAGGCAACATAGTTTAATTGTTTCTTTTTTGTCAGTTTGGTTGATATACGATAAGGAGTCTGCCCAGGGTGTTTTTTGAAAATTGACCTGATTCTCTGTGCCGTTCTGTGTGGGACTTCCTGCCCAGTTCATCTGCTCTGTGCTGCTTGACGTGGCTTCTGTCAAAAATGGACTGGCAGTAAATATTGAACTTTAGCTGAACTTTTTTTTTTTCTTCAATTGCAAATTGAATCGTAATCACAATATCTGGCAGAAAAGATGCATTTAGATTTTTTCCCCCAAATCGTTCAGCCCTACTGTACAGCGAACATCTGTTTTACTGTGAAGCAGTAACATCACAAACATGCTGGCATCTGTATCTCTCATATCAGCCGTCACAGGACCAAGGGAGGCACACAGGTGGTATCCTTACCAGATGCCCAAACACCTTAACTGGCTCCTTTCAATGCAAAGGAGCGGCAGCTCTACTCAGAGTTCCTCGTGGATGACTTGGCTTCTCTTCCTATCTCTAAGGGAGAGGCCAATGAAAACACATGAAAACAAGACAAAAATATGATAAAGATGACAAAAACGTGACAAATATGACAAATATGATAACATGATGAAAAGATGACAAAAACGTGACAAATATGACAAAAATATGATAACATGATGAAAAGATGACAAAAACGTGACAAATATGACAAAAATATGATGAAAAGATGACAAAAACGTGACAAATATGACAAAAATATGATGAAAAGATGACAAAAACGTGACAAATATGACAAAAATATGATAACATGATGAAACGTGACGAAACAAACGTGACGAAAACTTTCCAGCGGTTTCCTGCTGAAAAACAGTGACTTGTTTTTATTTTTGTAAAACTACAGTTCTCAAGGTCCAGACTTTGGGTTCTGTAGAAATGAACAAATGTCTTTGTCCATTCAGTCAGGCCCAAGCCAAGAAGAGAAGAATCTGAATGATTTTTAACATAATCAAAAAATGTATAATCATTAAATGTTCATTGTTGGAGTGTTGTTTGTCACCAGGTGGACGTGGAGAAGCCGGAGGAGGTGAGGCTGATCGATCTGGATGAGACTCACAGCGGAGAACACACAGTTTTCATCATGCCTCCTGAAGAACCTCAGGAACCTGACGGGTCGGAGTGTCCCGCCCTCTACAGGTACAAAGTCACTGAGTCTGAAGTAGAAATGTGTTGAACTGCATCACATGTGATTTAAGATGTTTTTCCATGTTTCATGTTTCCAGTTATGAAACCTTCCCCATACTGAAGCCAGAGCTCTTTGACCGGCCCCAGGACCAGCTCCGGGTCCCGGCTAAAGGCAGCGCCCCCAGTAGCCCCGCTCCCAGACGCACAAAACAGGTACATAACGTTTAAAAGCATTCATAGCAGAGGTTATCTCTGCTGATATGATTAGATTAGTTTAATCCACAACTAATAACGAAGTCTGTGAAATAAGTCTGTAAGCAGGTCTGTATGTTTTGGTGTTGGATCATATTAAATGCTGGGACTTTAACCGGCAGATGCTTTTTTACTTTTCTGTTCTTAAAGCATTTAACATAAACATACCTGTCAACCCTCCCATCCTGTCCCGGTATCCTCCCGATTAAATATTTTTCTGTAAATCTCCCGTATTTTTAACCTTTCTAAAAATTAAAAATTACCTTTCTAAAAATTTTCAATTTAAAATAACCATTTGAAATGTTTGCTACGCTCCCCTCCGGTGGCAGTATGTAGAACATCAGCTGTAACAGTGTCGGAAAGTCAACGGCTCCCTCCGATGAAACGCAAGTATTTCACTCGCCCTACAGGTAGATAAGTGCAAACCGGAAAAATGACTCACAACGTGCGAGTAAAGACTACAACCTGCAGTAATTCTTCTGGATGAATGATTATTGACAAGTTAATACTTAACATTAATAAATTAGAGACAATTGCAGACTGTTTTACTTGCACAAGGATTTAATGACTAAAAACAACCCACATAATTTTTAGGTATATACTAGTGGTAAACTATATATTAAATTTAAATGAATATTGTACCTATAAGAAATACATTAACATTATACTAACAGTATACTATGGAATCAACATTGTACTCAAATCTGAACTGGAAAAGATCAGATTCCCATGTGAGTTGGGCTTAGTCACATACGAGCAAAAACTGTGGCCTTCAGTCTGAACAAGGAGGGAGTCAGCTGGACCAGACCACATGAAATACAGTTTCCTCATATTTGAGCTATCTGATGTATGGATCAGTACTTGGAACCAACATTTGAATCAGGAGAGAGGGAGTCAGGTCTGTGCATCCCGATGCTCTGGTTTTACGTTCTGACCCAGTTTTCCCTGAATGAAGACCGGAGGAGGAACCTTGGCAATAGTCTAAACTGTGTACCATTTTATTTTTATTAATCATGATCAATATTTCACTGCTCATCCAATATTCAGAAGAAACGGACTGTGTGAATGAGAGCGGGTTTGAAAACGTCAACTACAGTTATTTTCAGATGACCAGGTTATTTGAGCCACTTATTCCAAAGTGGGAACTTAGTTTTACCTTTTTCATCTTTTGTTTTATAGGTAACAACGAATCCTCATCTCATTCTGCTTAATTTAAACACATTACATCTGATTATGTCGGCACATGTTGGGTCTTTACCCACATCTTTATGTGTGATGTGATGTGTAACGTATTTTACCTTCCCAGGAAATCAAGTTGGCCCAGAAGCGAGCTCAGAAGTACTCTTCGGTGCCGGACATGTGGTCCAAGTGCCTGCTGGGTCACTGTTACGGCCTCTGGTTCATCTACCTGCCCACTTTTGTTCGGGCGGAGATTGCTAAGGTGCGCGCGTTGCACACGGCCTACGACGTGCTCAAACACATGGAGAACCGCAAGGTGGTGCTGCCGGACGAGGTGAGTGTTGTTGTTTTGGTCTGGACAACTTCAGAGTTGCCTTTATTGCCTTTTAGGACCAGATTGATCTGAAAGACTGTTTCTGAGTGTTTGTCTTCTGCGTCGCCCGGTAACAAAGGGTGATCATGCTTTATATGCTTTAAAATGGGAATAAACTTCCCATTTTCATTAGATCATCCCCAACCACTGAGACTTAAAATGTATTTTTATTCTTTGGCATTCGAGTCAGTTTGGGGACATTCATCATTAACTGTCCTGGTTGCTTCATATTTCTATTTATTGCCGCATGCTTCATCACTATTTTATTATCTTATGTTCCCTTTTTCATCCCTTTTTTCTTCTTATCTTTTTTTCTTCTTGTTTTAATTGCATAACTTTGTACAGCAAATGTTCAACAGTGGTTATTTTTAAATGTGCTTTATAAATAAATTGACTTGACTATAACTTAATGATATAACTAACTTTCAAATTAGTTCAGTTTTAAAGTTAACAAGTGAGTTCAGCTCAGTTTTACTGGTCCTAGGACATCGGGCCTTGCTTACGTCGAACCCTGAACCGGTAACCTGAACTTTTCCTTGTGTTTTTACTGTATTTAGCAAACAGATATGTTTCAGATTTATGCCATTCAAAAAAGGAGACAGTGACGCTGCTGCAGTGTTGCGATTCTTTAGAATTTAACTTTTTTATCTTTTAAACTTTTTGCAGCACCGCTTCTCTGTCTGATTCCAGCGCCCGGACATGTTGGTTTGTGTTGTCCCGCTCCATACAGATGCAGTAGTAAAATGGCGGTTGCTGTTGTTGTGTTTGTTGTAGTCAACCTTGTTGTTGTGTGAAGACTTTGGATTCAGTTCCAGGAACCCTGTCCCTAAAGCAGGACCAGAGATGTTGTATACACATTACTCCTGAAAAGCTAAAGTGTGTGACAATTCTTTTTATGTGTGTCTTTCAGGTGTGTTACAGGATCTTGATGCAGCTGTGCGGTCAGTATGGTCAGCCGGTCCTCGCCGTTCGAGTCCTGCTGGAGATGAAGAAGGCTGGAATCACACCCAACACCATCACCTACGGATACTACAACAAGGTCCAACACACAACCACATATGTCCAGGATAGGGTTGGGTATTGTTTCAACTTTTTCCATTCCGATTCTACTTATTGAGTCTCGGTTCTGGTCCCTTCACCACAGATCTAGTCAGCGCTCGGTGACCTTCATCCTCTTCCTCCTCGCTCATCTTCCCCTTCATGGCTAAAGTGAAAGGAGTCTCTGTCCTAGAGGGGCGTCTCTGGGGACTCGTCTCTAAGAGAAATATCTATTGAATCATTTGTAGCCATCACTGCTTTCCCTTCAGTATAAAAGGTGTTTTGTACCTGAGACATTGCTACTGTTAGCGTTAGCTGGATCTGGGGCGTCACTGTAGCTGGGAGAGCGCGACACGTTGAACACGGTGAAGCGTTCCTTCAGATTCACGCCGTGTTGAAGTAAAAGCTTCGTCATGTTGGAGCTGCTTCCTGCCTCGCACCAAACCTCCTTACTGCAGCTGGTGCATTTTGTTGTGTTCTCTGTTTTAGTGAAGCTAAGCCAAACTTTGGAGCGTTTGCTGCGGTCCGCCATGGTCCAGGACTGGAAACAGAAGAACTCTCTTCTTCATGCTTTGTTCACATAACAAATGAGGTGACGTTAGGTCGACGTAGCAGCTCCTGGCAGATAAGAGACACTTTGATGGAGTGTAAAATGCTCACTGCAGTTCAGTCAGGAGCTGAAATATGCAGGAAGTTTGGAACAGAGGAGCAGAATCCAAACGCACGGGTCTTAATGTATCCAATCCATGGTTCCTGGAAAGGTTCTTGATACCCAACCCTAGCCCTGGACACACATTCAGTTATCATAAACGCATGAGGTTTTACATTTCAGAATAAAACAAACACTGAAGTCAGGAGTGCCAGAGATAAAAACAGATGGATGGATGTTTGTATTAATACAGAGCGTTGCGATTGAATCAGATGTCCTCTGCCCTCAGGCGGTGCTGGAGAGTAAGTGGCCCTCCACCAGTCAGGGTGGACGTCTCCGCTGGGCCAAGCTGAGGAATGTCCTGCTGGCTGTGGCCCACTTCAGACAGCCAATCAAACAACGGCAGAAGAGCGGCTCGGTGGGGTCACGGGGAGGTTAGAAAATATTTGATAAATATCCATTGAGGGAATGAGCATCACTTTTAGTGAATTTCAGCAGTTGTGACTTGTTTTAAATGACGCTGCGTAGTATGAAGGAAATATTTTGCAGTGGTAACAAAGTAAATGTACTCAAGTTCTGCATTAAGAACAAATTCAATTCATTTATTATGTGACTTTATTCTTCTATTTCACCACAGCTCTGAGATAAATGCTGTACATTTTACTTCACTACATTAAGGCTGCAATTTACGATTTATTGTTTATTATGAATTAATCTGCCGATTATTTTCACGATTATTTGTTTAAGTCGGTAAAATGTCAGTTTTTAAAAAATGGTCATCACAATTTCCCAGAGCACAAAGTGACGTCTTCAAATTCTTTTGTCCGACCAACAGTCCAAAACTTAATAAATGAAAGAAAAGCAGCAAGTCCTCACATTTAAAAAGATTAAACCAGCAACGTTTCACAGTTTTGCTTAATTAATCGTTGCAGCTCTTCACTAAATTTGTCTGGCAGCTTTAATTACTTTACTGTTTTTTTTTAACATCCACATTAATGCAGCAGGAATATTAATCCATAAACATCAGATATACTAGTGAAACACTGGCAGGAACATTTTACTGCAATATGACTACTTCTACTTTAATACCTAAAGTAAAATTTACTCATAAAACATACATGAATACAGGACTTTTACTTGTAATGGAGTATTTTCCTAGTATAGTACCACCACGGAGCATTTGTTGATTAACTTGATTATAAAGAAAAATGTCAGTGGAGGAAAAAAAAAACAATTTTCAAGAGTTATACTGTAAAAAAGAAAGTTGTATAATAATTTCTTCTGCTTTCTTTTTTTTAAGAAGCGATGTTGTACCCTGACCAGAGGCCCCGTCCCCACTCCACTCTGTTTCGTCAGTCCAGTTGGAGCGCTCTGTCTGAAAGCTCCAGTCACGAGTCTCTGACGGGTTCACTGGTGAAGAGCAACAGTCTGAGCAGCATGAAGACGCCCGCTGACAGTAAGACCATCCACGGGTCCATGTCTCATTTAGGTGCAGCACACAAAAACATTACATGCATGCACAAAGGACCCACGTTTCTGCACGAGTCACTTCACCTTTCTTAACAACCGGGTATTTCAAAAGGTATCTACAGATCATAACAGGGAGTTCACCACAGAGTATTATACGGTCAGCGCTTAATACTAAACCCACACTTCAACCACCAGTGAATGAGTCCTTATCTCAGTCCAACTCTCCACAAGAGTCCATCTCTCAATGAAAACCTCCTCTCCAGGATCCAGGCAAACAAAAATACTAAATTTCAATACAAAAATTGGCCAAAGAAAGTAAAACAGTGACAGCTCTTGTGTCTAATAGACAAGCTTAGAGATTCTCCGACAGCACCGGAGTTACCTCCCGTTGTCCGGTTGGTGCTGCAGGTCAGATAACTCAGGTCTTCTTCATGTCGTAGTTTTGAGGTAAACACACAGACTGATAGTTTCAGTCCTGTCATCTTTTACTGCAGCTATCTCCAACACCTTCAAGTCATATTTTCTATTAATCCTGTGCCAAACGTTTGTCCTTAGATTCTGTCCTGGTATAATGTAACTACAGAAAAAACCACTTCTATTGCAAATATTTCATTCTCTCAAAGTATGAAAATAATCAGCTGAGTTTTACCTCCACATTGAGAACTCTTTAGTCTACATCTCAAATATGGAGAATTTGTTCTTCCAAAAGAACTTTCCACTGGACTTTATATTCTTGCTTTTCCATAAACAGCTTGTTCTTTATGAGTCGCAGTGTTAACTCCCCTATCTCCGTTCTGTCCCACAGAGGGGAAGCAATGCAAGACCGTCCTCCAAAATGCAGGCACCAACGGCTGCGGGGACGCCGTCTCCGGTAAACCTCCAATGGGACGCAGAGACACCTCCACCCCGCCTCCAGCGCCACCCGGCGGTGTCCTGGTTCAGCGGAGTCAGGTCTGCCTCTCCACCTTCTACAAAGAGTGCGCGGAGTCGGCCGACTCCGAGCCGGACTGCAGCTGCCAGCCGGCAGAGAGAGACAGCAGGTCAGTCAGGACAGAGAAGGAGCTCAAAACTGGACTGATCGGTTTAAAGACATCTTCTAGCAACTCGCTTCTTGGATAATAGTCTTGTAATAATAGTTTATTAACATATCTTAAAGGTTCAGTGTGTAAGATTTAGTGGCATCTAGTGTCGAGGGTTGTGAATTGCAACCACCAGTCCAGTCTACCACTGCCCCGTAACCTTTCAAAGAGAGTAGGACAGCTACGGTGGCTGACGCAGCACAAATGGTGTCTCTTCTGAGACAGCAGAGAGACCAGTCAAGAAATTAGGTTTCTTTAGGTAGATTTATTAAGAAGTTATATTTACTTAATTATTCAGTAAAAACATATGTTATTGTGACTTGGCCACTGACAGATAACATGGAAAATGTAAACCAAGAGTGTGAAACGCTGTTACTGTTTCTGCACCACAGTCCATTATGAACGACACATTAGATAAAGTTTATACAAACATTGAAAAGTGAAACATGTTCATTCTCTCTGTGATTATGGACCCTGGGCAAAACTACCCGCCAACAATAATATCTGGCTCGCTGCCAGATTATGGTGCTTTGATAGCAGCAAAAAATAAATAAATAAATACTTTGGTCATGACAGCAACAGTTACTCACATAATCACTTCCTCTTGAAAATGACGATGCAACGTGGCGACGTCCATGGAAGGGGGTGCCTGCGGTGTATGTAGACAGAAATTTCTCATTCTAAGGTAACAAAAACATAACGGTTCATTATGTAAGGTCTTTACACATCACTGAAAACATAGTTATGGATCTTAAATTGCATTTCTGTTGACAGACCCTCAGAAATATTACACACTGAACCTGTAACTCACCTTATGCTTATTTTAGTAATATTTCTTACTTTGCATTACCTAATTTCTCCGTCTTTGGATTGGAGTTTTAGATGTTTTAATTTTTTTTCTCTTCTAATCTTTGGTATTGTGCTTTGGGTTTGCCTTTAAAGGGCAATAGCCTCATAAAACATAATTCCATTCAAGAAAGCGGCCTCTCCTGATAGAGGAAAGTGTGCAGAATAAAAGTCTTTGATTTGAAATGACAGGGAATTCCCACTTGAGTCATAGACTCATGTTAAAACAGGGTGTCTTCATTTCCAAGCAGGAAAAATGACATTGGGCCTCATTCACCAATATCATCCTAAATTCTTAAATTTCCTCTGATTCATGTTGTGTTCTTAAACTGCAGAATTGTTCGCAGCTGTGTTCTTAGAATAATTAATCCCATTGTCTTCGTAAATTGAAAGCGCATGCCCGTTGTTTCTATTTAGCACAGGTAAACACCCCGTTAACCTCAAAAGGAAGAATAACTTCTGTAGTTTGGAAATGGAGGTCCAGCTGCAAGAAGCGAGCGACAAATGAGCCGTTATGTTTAGCAGCGTCAGCAGTGGATATAAAGCAGCAAACAAAACCACTGCATGGAGTGAAATTACTCCTGAGAATGTTCCAAGCACTTACAGAAACCCCCGTCTCCGACACACTTTTTAATAAATGAAAATTTAACAAAAATAAATACAAGCGCTGAAACCTGTTTGAGTGATTTATTTCTTGAAATTTGTGGTAAGCTATAAATAATTACTTGTCAGCAGCGTACGCTCCACCGGGAGCAAAGAGGACTAAACTTGGAACAAAATAAATAACACGGTGAAAGCTTTAAAATTATTAGAACTAAAAGAATTGCTTTAAAAATTATAACTGAGAGAAATATTTTAATTTAAATTGGAACGGAAGAAAACGGAATAACATGTCAGCATTTTAATGTGTGTAGATTCTGTTCTTACCTGAGAACAAAACCCAAATAAGTCAGAGTCGTGAGAATAAATTTGTTCTTAAGAACGGTTGGTGAATGAGGCCCATTGTGACAGTTTAACATTATCTACACAGGCACTGTATCCTCTGACCCTGGCACTGTTATTTACCTGTAGGGCTCACCACAGTTCTGTAAACCTGACGTTGTTCCTCCTTTGACCTGCAGGCCTGTAGCAACGCGCGACTCGGCCAGCAAAAATAAGGTCGTAGACGAGAACTACAACAACGTCTCCTCCCCGAGCCGAGGAGGTCTGGCAGGGAAACTCCAGCAGCTCCTCACTCCGACCAGACACAGAGTGTCTGTTCGACGAGCCGCCAGCGTGGACGACCGGCGACCAGGAGGAGGAGGAGGGATAGGACGAAGGGTGTCGGAACAGAGGCAGTCCAGGAAATCCCAAGTGGCTGAATCACTGCTGAAAGCTAAGGACAGGCTGGTCAACGCTAACTCAGAGGTGCGACTGTTTAAAGCAGCTTTATTCTGAAGTGTTTACTCTCGATTAACCTCAACTATTTCAATCACAATTCAATCAGATTTCAATGAATGTTAAAGGGCCAATATTTAGGCTCCGGTCTTTAGTCAGCTGAATTGCAATAAGAAAAACATATCTGGTAGTTCAGCGAATAGGTCCTGGTGATAAAGGTCACAAAATAAAGCAGAGAACTTTTTACTGTTAGTTTTAGGGGTGGGGCAGTTTCACCATTACTGTACAGTTTGACAGTGAAGAAGAGGACAGGAAACATAGGACAGAAAGGACAGCAATGACTTGCAACAAAGGTCGGCAGCCGGAATCGAACTGGCAGTTGCAGACGTTAACTTAAATTCACATCCATATAGAACTTGGTAACATTAAGATAATTAGAAAAACCATTTGCACGCAAACAACCTGGACTTAATTGATTTTACCATAGTTTTAAAGTCGGTAGGGTTATATTTGTTGTGAAGTTTAAGATCAGTTTGTTTGTTTGTTCCATGCAGCAGGTGCAGAAATCCTAAAAGCTTTAGTTCCTAGTTCTCTTTGGACTTTAGCAACAATAAATTGCAAAGTGTCCTGACAATGGAGATTGCATTTTCCATATTTCAAGTTTAAAATACGAGATAAATAATTCGGAATTTTGCCAAGAAAGAATTTCAAGACGTCGGGCAAAACTCAGATGGTTTAGAAATTGTAATTAATAAATGTGGTGGAAATGGCGTTCAATTATAGTCGGCAGGTAAAAGGAAAACAAACCCCTCCAAATACTTACATACTGCAGTACTTTGATGTACTGTTGACGCAGTTTTTTAGCTCTCACAAGACTCTGCTCAACAGTTGGCTGTTGAATCCCTTCTCCATTCCATTGCTGAATAATTTGAACACCTCAGACTTGTTGTGCAGCTTCTCTAATAACTGAGAAACGTTCTCTTCAGCCCAAATATTCAGAAGGCGGCTCACTTCGTCCTGAGTCCAGGTTTGTCCCCATCTAGTCAACATTTTGGTAGCAAAGTCACCAAAACAGGAAGAGGAAAAGTTTTAACCAATGAAATTACACATACAAGTAGAGCATGACTAAAATAGATTTTGGGGGGCCGTGAAAAAGAGCCAATTTATGAGCCGATATCTTGATTTAGAAAATGATTTGGATAGTAGACCCCTTTCTTGTGTAGCATGTCTACTTATGATTTTTAATAAACGTATGAGAATTAATACAAAAGAGCCTTCGCTGCGCCGGGTCGAACTTCTTAGGGCGTTGCTGGGAGAGGGAGCACACTGAGCGCGTGCCAAAGTGCAAAGAGCGCAAGAGGACAAAGAGGGAAGAGGACAAGAGGGCTAGCAAGCGTGTGTCGCTGTTTTTGTTTGTTGGGGCGTGGTTCCCAGAGGGCAGTCCTTTGTTCCCCTGAGGGAGGGCTATGTTTCCGGTTTCCTGAGAGACCGTCTTTTTTAACTTGTCTATTCAAAAATCTATTTGCGCATATTGTAATCAAATATCTTCCCACAATCAAACCTCAATTGTCAAAACAGTTATACCGTTCTTAGTTTTAAGCATTTGATAAAAGGAAAACAATTGTCAGTAGTTAAACCTTAAGGTTAGCATTTCCTAGGAATCACATCAGATGAGAGGAACTTAACTAGCTTCCTGGATAATATTGGTTGTTACACATTCTTACTTAGAGAATATAAGCAAGATACACGAATGGCATCATCCTTGCTGAAAATTAAAACACTGCAAAATTAACTTACTTAGATTCTTTTCAACAACAATATCAACAACAACATGGTAACATAACTACTCAAATGGAGTGGAGAGACCTGTTAAGTAACTTATTAATTATTTAATTAAACAAGGTAATGCTTTTTGAGGAAACAGTACTCCTTGTTTACACAAAGGAATTCTGGGCTGTCCTCCTCTGGTGTCCTGGAGTTTCTCATGAATTCACATCTGGGCATGAAGAGGAGAATATCCTTTGATGTGAGGTAATTAAACAAAGAGGAAGGTCAATTGCCATGGTTACGTGGGGAGCATTATCTCGCTGCTGCCAAAGGTGCCGAACTGCCCTGAAACAGCACTTAGGGAAAGCAAACCTTTCACCTCCTCCTTTGGTCGCTTCAGCTGTCTGTTGAGGGTTGATATCTCAAAACCCTTCCTTTTCTTTCGCTCAGGGAGAGAGAGAAAGACTTTGGGATCTCCAAATTTATTTGATATAAAATTAACAAATCCACACTGGTTTGGACACTTGTCCAAACTACACTTAGAACAGGCCGATAGTGAAAGCTGTCCTGTCCTGTACTGGGCTATAAAACCTTTTCCTAAATGGATTGTGTTAATAAAATAATTACTGTCTCAACAACTGAACATATTTGCTGCTGGAAGGTGCAACTTTTTCAGCCATCTGTAAACAGAGAGAGTGAAAGAGAATAAGCATGTGTATTTTACCTTACACATAATCTGCCGTAATTTCAACGTAGCATATTCACATCTAAGGTTAGCAAGTCATGAATGTTTTCAGGAGAGGAGAAGTGATTGGGTCTGTTGTTGTTATAATTATTCAAGTCATGTAATTAACGTGACAAGGACCAACTCGCCACTAACACAGCCCTCTGCTGTTTCTACATGCTGCGCAGACTCCGGTTGGCTCTTTTGTGGTTTTTGTGGCGCTGCAGTGTTGTTTACAGAGGAGCTGCAGAGCTCCCTCTGTTGGGCAAATTATGCAACACTCATGACATGAGTGAAGGATCTGATTCTCTGTATTTTATTTTATTTTTTTTTATAGTTTAAAGGGTGGTGATGGCGCAATGGATAAGATGCCTGCCTTTGGTACCCGGGTTCATTCCCCCACTGTGACCCATCCACCATTGTGTCCCTGACCAAGACACTTAACCCCTAGTTTCTCCAGAGGCGTGCGACCTCTGACATGTATAGCAATTGTAAGTCGCTTTGGATAAAAGCGTCAGGTAAATGAATAAATGTAATGTAATAAGCCATATCTGCTGTTATCGGCCTATAATAGCGGTTGGACTATACACACAATAGTAGGGTTCCTGTTGGTTTGAATGGTGTTTACACCAGAATTGAACGGCTCCAGAGTTCACTTGACAGTGATCCGAAAGTCTCAATCCAACCCAACAACCGCACCAAGGGGGGTAAACGCCCCAGGGTTCAGTTCTACTAGATTGAACAAGGCTGGTGTGAACCCGCCCCAAGGCTTTATGAAGCACAGACATTTGATTTGAGAAATTTAACTGCACTATTAGGAAACATGTCACCGTCTTTCTGTTTGGGAATAATGAAATGATGAGTTATAATGAAAACACTGGAACTCAAAGATAATACTGCAGCTCTGGTAAGGTTGTTGCATACAAAATAAGTGGCATCTCTTTTTAATACAATTTCACAGGAATAAAAACAAAACGCAGACTGCCACAGCTCCTGCAGCTTCTGAGTCTTGTCAAGTTCCTTCTTCCTCTGGAGATTATTGGATCTGCAGTGCTAAACTGTCAGCAGCCCTCATAGCATAGTTCTGCCTTTTTTAGTCCAGTAACAGAATTTCTGAAGCTGTGAATCCAGAAGAGTTTTGATTCATCCGATAATATTTGTCAAACAGAATTATGTTTTCAGGTACTTTTGCTCTGTGGTGATGTATGCACAGTTGTTTGCTAAATAATCTGGTTCCGTGTTGTCTTTTCTCAGAGTTCGTTGTCTGTAGGAAGTGACCTCGACTTGACGGACATGCCCAGTCCAGCCTATCCTCTGCGTAGGTCCTGGGACGCCAATCAAGAAGGGACAGGGCTCGAGGTAAATGCTTGTCAGCTACAGTGCAGTACAGTACAGTTGTGTCCTTGACAGGTCTGTTGTTCTTGTTAACTCCTCCCTTCCCTCAGCGTTGACATCACCACTGACTGCTCTCTCCCCTCTCTGTGTGTCCAGGTGTTGATGTCCAGCTGCTCTCTGTGTCGCAGCTGTAACTCGCTGGTTTATGACGAAGAGATCATGGCTGGCTGGACGTCAGACGACTCCAACCTGAACTCGTCCTGCCCGTTCTGTTGCGCCTCCTTCGTCCCCTTCCTAAACGCAGAGATCTGCGACATCGGACCCCTCAGCAGGTATGGACTTTCATCAGGGAACCAGATCTGTCTTTACGTTATGCAACTCCTTGATGGTTTCCTGTGACACGTAAAGACGTACTGGTACAGACCCACCCACCCCCCAGGACTAACACTGGGCTGTGAGGTGATTTTGTGTTGTGGCCACACTCTGCAGGATCACGTAATGCAGACTGGCCCCAAAATTGTTCAGAAAATTCAATTCAATTTTATTTATATAGCGCCAATTCACAACAACAGTTATCTCACAGCGCTTTTCATAAAAGAGCAGGTCTAGACCGTACTCTGTGATGATATTTACAGGAGCCCAACAGTTCCCACCAAGAGCAAGCACTAGGCGACAGAGGCAAGGAAAAACTTCCTTTTAAGAGGCAGAAACCTCGAGCAAAACCATGGCTCAGGGTGGGCGGCCATCTGCCTCGACCGGTTGGGGTGAGAGAGAGAGAGAGAGGGAGAGGGAGGGGGGGGAGAGAGAGAGAGAGAGGGAGGTAAGGGGAGGGGGGGGAGAGGGAGGGGGGGGGGGGGGGGGGGGGGAGAGAGAGAGAGAGAGAGAGGGAGGTAAGGGGAGGGAGAGAGAGAGAGAGAGAGGGTAAGGGGAGGGAGAGAGAGAGAGAGGGAGGTAAGGGGAGGGAGAGAGAGAGGAGAGAGAGAGAGGGAGGTAAGGAGAGAGAGGGGAGGGAGGCAGCCTACATAATATACACACAGAGGTACAGACAGCGAAGGTAATGTTGCTATAAACTAAATGAAAAATGGTACAGATATTTATAATAGTGTTAATGGTAACCATCGTAATGTTAATGATTATAATAACAATAGGAGAGAGGGAGGTAAGGGGAGGGAGAGAGAGAGGGAGGTAAGGAGAGAGAGAGAGAGAGGGAGGGAGAGAGGTAAGGAGAGAGAGAGAGAGAGGTAAGGAGAGAGAGGGGAGGGAGGCAGCCTACATAATATACACACAGAGGTACAAACAGGGAAGGTAATGTTGCTATAAACTAAATGAAAAATGGTACAGATATTTATAATAGTGTTAATGGTAACCATCGTAATGTTAATGATTATAATAACAATAGTAACAATAAGACTAGCAACAATAGTCGTTGCAGCAGAGGGTGTCGAGCAGGAACACGGGGGCAGCAGGCGACCCGCAGCCACAGATCCAGACTCCACAGCTCCAGAGCCAGAAAACCTGCAGGAAGTGATAGGAGGAGAGAGGAGAGGGACGAGAAAGCACAAGACTACCAGAAAGGGGAGAAGTTGTGTTAGTAACATGCAATAATGGGATAAGGTTGCATACAGAGGGAGAGAAAGTAGAGGAGAGAGGAGCTCAGTGCATCATGGGAAATCCCCCGGTAGTCTAGGCCTATAGCAGCATAACTAAGGGATGGTTCAGGACTACCTGAGCCAGCCCTAACTATAAGCTTTATCAAAGAGGAAAGTCTTAAGCTTACTCTTAAATGTGGAGATGGTGTCTGCCTCCTGAACCCAAACTGGAACCTGGTTCCACAGGAGAGGAGCTTGATAGCTGAACGCTCTGGCTCCTAGTCTACTTTTGGAGACTCTAGGAACCACAAGTAACCCTGCATTCTGGGAGCGCAGTGCTCTGGTGGGGTAGTAAGGTACTATGAGCTCTTTAAGATAAGATGGTGCCTGACCATTAAGAGCTTTGTAGGTAAGAAGAATGATTTTAAATTCTATTCTGGATTTTACTGGAAGCCAATGCAAAGAAGCTAAAACAGGAGAAATGTGATCTCTTTTCCTGGTTCCTGTCAGAACACGTGCTGCAGCATTCTGGATCAGCTGAAGAGTCTTAATGGACTTTTTCGAGCAGCCTGATAATAAGGAATTGCAGTAATCCAGCCTAGAAGTAACAAATGCATGGACTAGTTTTGTGCATCATTTTTAGACAGGATGTTCCTGATTTTCGCAATATTACGTAGGTGAAAAAAGGCGGTCATTGAAATTTGCTTAATGTGGGACTTAAACGACATGTCCTGATCAAAGATAACTCCAAGATTCCTCACAGTGGTGCTGGAGGCCAAGGCGATGCCATCCAGGGAAACTATATCTTTAGATAATGCGTCACGGAGGTGCTTAGGCCCCAGAGCAATAACTTCAGTTTTATCTGAGTTTAACATAAGAAAATTACAGCTCATCCAGGTTTTAACATCCTGAAGGCACATTTGAAGTTTAGCTAACTGATGAGTTTCATCTGGCTTGATCGATAGATATAACTGAGTATCATCTGCATAACAATGAAAGCTTATGGAATGTTTCCTGATAATATTGCCTAAAGGAAGCATATATAAAGTGAAGAGGATTGGTCCAAGGACAGATCCTTGAGGAACTCCATGAGTAACTTTGGCGTGCATGGAGGACTCATCGTTAACATGTACAAACTGAAATCGATCTGATAAATAGGACTTAAACCAGCTTAGAGCGGTTCCTTTAATGCCAATGAAATATTCCAGTCTCTGCAATAGGATCTGATGGTCAATGGTATCAAATGCAGCACTAAGATCTAATAAAACCAGTACAGAGACAAGTCCTTTGTCTGATGCAATAAGGAGGTCATTAGTAATTTTCACCAGTGCTGTCTCTGTGCTATGATGAGCTCTAAATCCTGACTGAAAATCCTCAAATAAACTATTGCTCTGTAGAAAGTCACACAGCTGTTTAGCAACTGCTTTCTCCAGAACCTTAGAGAGAAATGGAAGGTTAGATATAGGTCTATAGTTTGATAAAACATCCGGATCAAGTTTGGGCTTTTTCAAAAGAGGTTTAATTACAGCTACTTTAAAGTACTGTGGTACATAGCCTGTTGATAGAGATAGATTGATCATATCTAGTATAGAGGTGCTGACTAAGGGTAAAACATCTTTAAGCAGCCTAGTCGGGATGGGGTCTAAGAGGCAGGTTGATGGTTTAGATGAAGAAATTATTGAAGTTAGTTGGTAAAGATCGAGGGAAGCAAAACAGTCTAAACATGTATCTGGTTCTACAGCTGTTTCTAAGGTTCCTGAGTTAAGAGATAAGTCGGTGCCAATTGAGGGCAGGTCTTGGTGAATTTTGTCTCTAATAGCTAGAATTTTATCATTAAAGAAGCTCATGAAATCGTAACTACTGAGAGCTATGGGAATACTTGGCTCAATAGAGCTAAGACTATCTTGCCAAATTAAACGAGAATTTTCCACTTTGGTGGAACGCCAATTCCTCTCAAGTTTCCGTGATATTTGCTTTAATTTGCGAGTTTCAGTATTATACCATGGAGCTAACCGTCTTTGTTTTAGTATTTTCTTTTTTAGAGGGGCTACAGAGTCGAGTGTCATTCGCAGCGAGCCAGCAGCACTATCAACAAGATGATCGATTTGGGAGGGACTGAAATTAGCATAGGAGTCCTCCGTTACTTTGTGACTTGATAATAAATTTAGAGCTGATGGAATCGCATCCTTAAATTTAGCTACAGCACTATCAGACAGACATCTTGTATAGAAATTTTTGCCCAATGGCGAGTAGTTCAGCAATACAAACTCAAAAGTTATCAAACAGTGGTCGGATAAAGAGGGGTTCTGTGGGAACACCACTAAATGTTCAATTTCAATACCATACACCAAAACAAGGTCGAGGGTGTGGTTAAAACAGTGAGTCGGTTCATGAACACTCTGAGAGAAGCCGATGGAATCTAACAAAGAGATAAACGCAGTACTGAAGCTGTCATTCTCAACATCCACATGAATATTAAAATCCCCTACAATAATAACTTTGTCCGTTTTAAGGACTAAAGTTGACAAAAACTCTGCAAATTCAGATAAGAATTCAGAATACGGGCCAGGTGCTCGGTACACTATAGCAAAAAGAATTGGTTGCAGTGATTTCCAACTTGGGTGCGAAAGACTAAGAACAAGACTTTCAAATGAGTTATAGTTTGGAGAAAAGCAGCGTTTGTAAAATAATGAATACGTTACTCTTAGTGTCACAAATAGCAAAATCATTTTCAAGAGCCAACAGCTGCCGCATTATTCTTTTTCTTAACCTTTTATTTATTCAGGGAGCTTCAGTGAGAGCAACCTCTCATTTGCAGGAAGGCCCTGATCAATACTCACAAGTCCCCAGCTGAGCGCCGCTACGTTGGAGTTTACTCCCTACGCCTTCGGGTAGTGGTGGTGGGGGGGGGGGACTCTGACTGTTGTTTGTGCATATGCACCAAACAGCAGTTTAGAGTACTCAGCCTTCTTGGAGACCCTGAATGGAGTTCTGTATGGGGCTCCAGTAGGGGGACTCCATAGTTCTGCTGGGAGACTTCAACGCGCATATGGGCAATGGTGGAGATACCTGGAAAGGCGTGATCGGGAGGAACGGCCCCCCTGATCTGAACCCGAGTGGGTGTTTGTTGTTAGACTTCTGTGCTAGTCATGGATTGTCTATAACGAACACTATGTTCAAGCATAAGGATGCTCATAAGTGTATATGGTACCATATACAGCACCCTAGGCCGAAGATCGATGATCGATTTTGTAATAGTTTCATCTGATTTGAGGGCGCATGTTTTGGACACTCGGGTGAAGAGAGGGGCGGAGCTGTCAACTGATCACCATCTGGTGGTGAGTTGGGTCAGGGGGTGGGGGAAGACTCTGGACAGACCTGCCCAAACGGGTAGTGTGGGTAAACTGGGAACGTCTGGAGGAGGCCCCTGTCTGTGAGATCTTAAACTCAAACCTCCGGCGGAGTTTTTCTGGCATCCCTGTGGAGGTTGGGGACATTGAACATGAGTGGGAAATGTTCAAAGCCTCTATTGCTGAAGCCGAAGCGGAAGGCTGTGGTCTTAAGGTCTTAGGTGCCTCAAGGGGCGGTAACCCTCGAACACCATGGTGGACACCGGTGGTCAGGGAAGCCGTCCGACTGAAGAAGGAGGCCTTCCGGGATTTGTTGTCTCGGAGGACTCTGGAGGCAGTTGCAAGACACCGACGGGCCTGAAGGGCTGCAGCCTCTGCTGTGGCAGATGCAAAGCAGCGGGTGTGGGAGAAGTTCGGAGAAGACATGGAGAGTGAGTGAGAAAGTGTTTCTGGAGAACGGTCCGCCATCTCAGAAGGGGGAAGCGGGGAAGCGTCCAAGGTGTGTACAGTAAGGATGGGACCCTGTTGACCTCAGCTGAGGAGGTAATTGGGCGGTGGAAGGAACACTTGGAGGAACTCTCCGACTGACTCAGCTGGAGGCTGATAGGGTTTTCTCGTCAATTTCCCTGGAGGAAGTCACTGAGGTAGTCAAACAACTCCACAGTGGCAAAGCCCCAGGGATTGATGAGATCCGCCCAGAAATGCTAAAACCTTTGGGTATGGAGGGGCTGTCTTGGATGACACGCCTCTTTTAACATTGCGTGGAAGTCGGATACAGTGGCCAAGGAGTGGCAGACTGGGGCGGTGGTTCCCCTGTTCAAAAAGGGGGACCAGAGAGTGTGTGCCAATTACAGGGGTATCACACTTCTCAGCCTTCCCAGTAAAGTGTACTCCAAGGTGCTGGAACGGAGGGTTCAGCCAGTAGTCGAACCTCAGATCGAAGAGGAACAATGCGGTTTTCGTCCTGGTCATGGAACAACTGACCAGCTCTTTACTCTCACAAGGATCCTGGAGTGGGCTTGGGTACGTATGCCCATCCAGTCTACATGTGCTTTGTAGATCTGGAGAAGGCGTATGACTGGGTCCCCCAGGATGATACTGTGGGAGGTGCTGCGGGAGTATGGGGTGAGGGGGGCCCTTCTCAGGGCTATCCAATCCCTGTACATCCCTCATGACCGCCTTGGGATCCCTCAGTCAGAGCTGATTAATGTGGCTCGGGAAAGAGAAGTTTGGGGTCCCCTGCTGGAGCTGCTGCCCCCACAACCCGACCCCGGATAAGCGGAGAAATGGATGGATGGATTGTTAGTGCTCCTGGTTGTGGTAACAACAGTCGTCATGGTCGTTAGAGCCACCTGTGGCCAAGTCTGAACAACCATCATTGGTATCTTTACCTGAGGCCAAGAGGAAATGCTTGTTCAGTTTCCTGGGAAGTGATGGGGCCTTCAGATTTAGACATGGCTTTCCTTTTTGTGTCACCCTCATGACAAACTTTTGTTCCCACATAGTTGGTAAGGATCTAACACTCAGCCCCTTTTCTTCAGACAGTAATATTGAAATAATAACAATCAGCTGACGTCACTTCCATTTTAAATGTTCCTCTGTTTCCCTCAGTGCGGAACGCAGCAACTGGAACACAGAGGACGAGGTGGAGAGCGCGATTCGTCCCCCCAGCAGTCAGGAGGCATCCCTGCAACACCAATGTAATGGTCTGAGCGAAGACTCCAGCTCCGAGACCAGCAGCTACTCCGAGAACAGCAGAACTACCACGGTAACTCACAGTCCATTAATACTTTGTCTTTGTTTTTATTAGCGTTCCGCTGACAGTCTCCCCCCCCCCGCCCCTTTAGGGTTCGTCAGTAGGCGGGGCTCCCCAGGTGACCGTGGCCTACCTGAGCCCTCTGGTTCTGAGGAAGGAGCTGGAGAGTCTGCTGGAGAATGAGGGCGAGGCGGTCCTGGCCCAGCCTCAGTTCCTGGAGAACCACTCCATCATCTTCTGGAACCTGGTCTGGTATTTCCAGCGCCTCGGTCTGCCTAGTAACCTGCTGCAGCTGGTCAGAGCCTCACCGCTGGTCAGCCAGTTCACACAGGTAAACACACAGTCTGATGCTGCAGCACAGACACAAGTTCCATTTTCCAACACTTTCGCAACTTGGATGTTTTCAGCTTAAAAGTCAACAAGAATTTGCCATATTTTAAGATAGATAACCATCTATCTTAAAATATGTCAAATTCTTCAATGAAATAAATTAAAAGGTACACACAGTCAGCTTTTGTTGTTGAACTTGTTCATTTGCTCTAAGACTAAAGAGGTCCACATTTTAGCTTCATTACACTGGCTCCCAGTACGTTTTAGAATAGACTTTAAAATTTTATTGATTATTTTTAAAGCTCTTCATGGCCTCTCTCCCTGTTATTTCTCTGACCTTCTAGTCCCATACACACCAGCACATAGCTTGAGATCCCCGGGCAGAGGTCCGTTGTCTGTTCCAGAGTCTCGACTGAAAACTAAAGGGGACAAAGCGTTTGCTCTGGAACAGCCTGCCCTTAGAAATCAGGGTGGCTGAGGCAGTGAACCCTTCTTAAAACATATTTTTATAGAAGAGGCTTTCCTGATTTTAGTTTATTTTAATTATATTATTATTTTATTATATTATTATATGCTATTTTTCTTCTAACTGTATTTCAGTTTCATAACGTTCTTCCTGCTTTACCGTGTATCTTATTTTGTTTGCTGTGTTTTCTGTTCTTTGCTCTTGTGAAAACACTTTGTAACATAGTTTTGAAAAGTACTCATTAAATGAAGATTATTATTTTGACTGTGAAACAGATTGGCTGTAGTACTGAAGTATATCAATGCCAAAACCTTGAGCTCATTTCAAGTTGAGGTGTGTGTGGACAGCTGCAGAAAAAAAGGCAGAGAGATTTTATTTGAAAGAGCTCGAAACATATTAAAACAGCTGGAAAAAAGCACTCATATTCTCAAAAGAATGCTTAGTGGACTAACAGACGATGTATTACATCACTTCTACAATAAATAATAACAGATTTCTTTCTGGAAGTCTTCCAAAAAAAGAGCTACAGCTTCAACATTTCTGTTACAGCTTGTCCAAAATACAAACAACTAAACTTGATAAACCAGGATGACCAAAAATAGCAAAAGCAGAAACCCTATTTTTTGGACAATATTTGGCAGAAATAAAATACAGAAAGGTGTAGGGTTGGGTATGGTTTAAATTTTATTGATTCTGATTACGATTCTACTTACTGAATCTCCGTTCTGGTTCCTTCACCACAGATGTAGTCAGCGCTCGGTGACCTTCCTCCTCTTCCTCCTCGCTCATCTCCCCCTTCATGGCTGAAGTGAAAGGAGTCTCAGTCCTAGAGTGCCATCTCTGGGGACTCGTCTCTAAGAGAAATATCTATTGAATCATTTGTAGCCATCACCGGTTTCCCTTCAGTATAAAGGTGTTTTGTACCTGAGACGTTGCTACTGTTAGCGTTAGCTGGATCTGGGGCGTCACTGTAGCTGGGAGAGCACGACACGTTGAACACGGTGAAGCGTTCCTTCAGATTCACGCCGTGTTGAAGTAAAAGCTTCGTCATGTTGGAGCTGCTTCCTGCCTCGCACCAACCCTCCTTACTGCAGCTGGTGCATTTTTCAGAATCCAAACGCACGGGTCTTAACAAATCCACTGTTCTTAGAAATTTGCTAACACTTAGAACCAGTTCTTGATGCCCCAAACCTTGGAAAGGTGGGATGAGATAAAAGACACCAACACACTTCTCTCATCTTGTGCGTTTCCTAGTTGGAGAGCTCAGCAGTGAGAGTGAGGCTCCTCTGGGACACCCTGACCCCTGACACAGACCAGTGGCCCCCCCTCTACATCCTCTGGAGGATCCACAGTAAGACAAACACGAAGCTTAAACTGATACACAGGAACAATGCTAGTGTTTTGAGGAAGTTCTTATTAAGATTTAACCTCTGTAAACAATAATATTTAGTTTTCCCTTCTTCCACCAGGTGGCGTCCCAATGCGAAGCTTCAGCTGGCGGAGACACAGCCACCCGTTCACCCTGTCCTTCCTGGAGGAGGTGCTGCGGTGGGTCGGAATGAACGAGGTGCACAAAGCAATCACCCTCTTTCTGGACACGCTGGCCAAACATCCGGGTTCCCCCTGGACACAGAGGTGGGAGCTGAATGCTTATTTATGGAAATGTTTACTCCGTTGTCAAGTACCCAAGAAATAGTTGTCCTTCTACAAGATTTTAATAGGTAAAATGTAAATGTGTTCATTAAAGTATAATTTTAATAACTGGGCGGGGTAACTGGGCTGAACAATTGATACTAAATTATATCAAAATCGCAATATTTGTTAATGGTGATATGGATGTCAAACTACCATTTTAAATTAAATATTGTCAGACTGCAGAAATGTCCTGACCTACAGATCATAATCTACAGACTTAAGAAAACGCCTTTGTTTGGTACAGATCCTTTCAAAAATCACACCGTAATTCTTTTAATGTATTTTTCAATGAAAATGAAAATAATGATTTAAAAATGGTAATTCTCTCTAATATCACAAATCAGATCACAATTGCAAGATCAATTAAAATTTGACCTTCAAGGGCTGTTGTATAGGTAAAACATTTTTTACAGTAACGGGTGTTATATTCAGAGAATAAACTCGTAAAAGTTGTAAATCTATTTTAAAAAATTGACAAATTTAAGAGAAACAAACTGGAATATTCTGATATTATAAAATCCAAAATGTACGAGGGAAAAAGAATACTATAAATACTTCTCTTAAGATGTGCTTGTTTTATTAAAGGCTCTGTTCTTCAGTGGTTCTCAAACTTTTTCAAATCAAGGATTCCTAAACTGACGCAAATTAGACCACGGACCCCCAAAACATCTTTTATTGAAGCTAACCAAATTAGTTTTGGTGCCTAAACCTAACCAAAATGCATAAATACCACATTTTAAAAAGGCACCTCATTTGGACTCTGAAGGTACCTCGGGCGTAAAATACCTACATTTTGTCAGACAAAACACAAAAACATGGAAAATTGTTTGAACTCCAGTCGGATAAGATTGTGTCTCAGGTGGCGTCAAACGTCTGGTCAGATTAATAATTCTCTTTACTTCTGATCTTATAGCTTCTCCTATACATCCATCGTCAACCGCTTATCCTGCATACAGGGTCGCGGGGGGCTGGAGCCTATCCCAGCTGACATTGGGCGAAAGGCGGGGTACACCCTGGACAAGTCGCCAGTCCATCGCAGGGCTCTTATAGCTTCTGATTTAATTAAAAATTACACCATTTCATTTAGAAGTCTCAAAGTAATAAAAAAAAACATATGGAATCCTGTCCTACAGCAACTACTCATTTGATACGATTTTGGATCGATGTTTTATTCTAGTGTGTATGGAACCCACGACCAATATAGTTACACGTTCAGTCATTGATAATTATGAATGGAATAAAATAAATGATTCCCTATTTTATTGTGGACATACTGCCCTGTAATAAAAAATGTACGTTTGCTTACGATTAATAATGATGTTGTAGTTCTGTTTGTCTGTGAATCACAGTTTGTGTGGGTTTTGTGTTTGACAGGAGTTTGTACAGAGAGTTCCTCTTCCTCACGCTGGCAGCTATGGGCAAAGACCACGTCGGTAAGGATGCAATAGATTTATGTTTAGGATATATTATAATATATATAAAATACAAACATGTTACTTTATAAAAACAGAGTAACGTTTACTGGGTAGTTTAAGGGTAGTGACACCAATTGTCATTGGAAAAATCACTACACTATAGTGATCAAAACATAGGGTCACAAGCTGGCTCAGGTTTGGATCAATACAGTTCTGTGAAGAGAAACACAGTCAGACAACATGACTATAGCTCATATTGACTGTTGGACTGGGATATTTGGGAGAATTAGATATTCAGATTCACGTCACTCATGTCTGTATGGTAAATATGAAGCTGCAGCTGGTTTGCTTAGCTTAGCATGAAGACTGGAAACTGGGAGCGGGTGGGAACTGCTAGCCTGGCTCTGTCCTCCAGAGGTAACAAAATCCACCTACCAGCACATGTAAAAACAGTAATTGACATCAGACTATTAATCACTTCTAAGCTGTAGACAGAAAGTTAAGGTGCCAAGTAAAGAAATTGTCCGCCATATAAGCTGCCGTAAAATGGCAAATTACTGTTTTTAGAAGATGGGAGAGTTGTATGTTGGTGTGTGTGGGTCTGTATGAGTTGTTTGTTGATTTGAGTTGTATAACTCAATAAAATATTTGAATAATAAAGTAATTGGAAGAAATGCTGCAGCATTCATTTTGCAGCGCAGAGCTATGACTTCAGTCTTTCGTGTCACGAAATGGGGTGAAAACGAGAGGACTGTCCCTAAAGCATCGTGCAGACTACACGATTTTCAGCGTCGACCGATGGCTGTGCTGTTCACACTACAAAACTTGCCATCTTGTGAAAGTAGTCTTGAAGTCGTTGTGGCTGGATGTGGATGTCGAGTCGGCCGACTCCGGCAGATATTTGGCATGCTAGATATCTGGCTGGCGTTGGCGATGTGTCAGAAATGTGTTGGGGAGCCATTTTGATATGTCATTGAGTAGTTCACACATAACGACTGGCGACCGCCGATCAACCGCTGATTTACCCCCGATCACAGCCTGACGGTCGCCGAGCGGCAAATCGGGCTAAAAATCGTGTAGTGTGAATTAGGCTTAACTGGCCGTGGGAGCTTTAGCATAATTAGCATACTGACTAACTTTAATTAAAAGCCTAGTCCCAGGTAGACACGTCTCTTTTACTGGCCTGGTGTGGTTTCACTTTTTGACAAATAAAAGCAGGTCTCAATTAGAGGCCTGGTAAGGTTTATGTAAGTTCTTTGGCTGTAGTAGTAGTAGTAGTAGTTGCTCTCTGCTCATAAAAATGAGCAAAACTGAAAAATGTACATAGTTCAAATAACTCGTTGAGGGTTGAGAAATATTTTGTTCATGTTTCTACATTAAGAAATCATTTGCATCAATATGTTTTGAGTGTTTATTTAGTCATATTTGATGGAACAACATGTCCAATTTTTGTATTACTTTAAATTCATGACACAATTTTAATACTATGATCAATTATTTTGGTTTATTGATTTACATAACCTTTAGCTTAGGTGGGACAGATGTAAACAACTATAGGCACTGGTGGACCATTTTCAAAGGGTTAAAAACCAAGCCGTAGTGGCTGCTGTGTGATCAACATTTATGATACAGAACAACAGGAACAAATGCAGCGTGTAAAGACGGAAATAAATGTAATAATAATTCTCTCTCTCTCTCTCTCTCTCTCTCTCTCTCTCTCTCTCTCTCTCTCTCTCTCTCTCTCTCTCTCTCTCTCTGCAGCTGCATTTGATAAAAAGTACAAGGCGGCGTACTCACGGCTCAGCAGCACACTGGGTCGAGAGGAGCTCCGTAAGAAGCGAGCTCAGCCTCCCAGCCCCAAAGCCATCGACTGCAGACGCAGCTTCCACCCGTCGCTCGAATGCTGATCATCCAGGAGACGAACGTCCCTGATGACTCATGCAGCGTTCGTCCCTGTGAGGGGAAGAGGAGGAACAGCAAACCTATGATCCCTGCTGCCTTCACCTGCTTGTATTCTTCACCTCGCCGCTGCTCCCCAAGTGGATGTCGGAGTGACACGCTCCTCCCTGTCCTCCTTACCTCTGTTTGCCTCGTCGATGTGAATCCAGCAGCTATTTGTCTCCATTAAAGATCCTGAACGTTGATCCGGCTGCGGCAGATGGAGTTGCTCGTACAGAAACGCACATAAAGCGATAACACTCTGAGCTGAGATCAGTCCGTCAGGTGGAGTCCTGCATCGTCTGAAGGCAAAGATAACTGGCCTGAGCTCGGGTTCGTGCATGTCCAGAGGGATCAGCTGTGTCGGTGCAAAGTTTTGGTTTTAACCTGTTTTTGGAAAAAATTCCCAACAAGATGATTCAAACCAGGACCTGAAAGTCCGTGCAAGCGCAGAGGGAATCTTCTGGACGATTGAAAGGGGGGGAAATTTTAACCACAACATTGTAGGACATTAGATTAAATGATCAAGGAAGAGGTTTAGGATTTTAATAGAAGATTAAAAAGGCATGAAACACTCCAAATGCAACCCAAAAAGAAGCTGCAGACTTCAAACTCCAGGAAACTTTTCTTTGTGTAGCAGAGTGGTTTCTCTTTCTACAAGGGAATAAAGTCTGAAATCAATGTTCATTTTCAAGAAAGTCGAGGAAATAACCAAACAAGAAGCTGAGATTAACTAGACAAACTCCCTGAAACTTATGATCATTTGTTGGGAATCTAGAAGGCCGACAGCTCAATGTGAAGCTACTGAGAGTTGATCTCTCCCAGCATAATTAAAGAAGCGTTTTTTTAAAGTCAGAAGACATCAGTCATTCAACACCTGAGAAAACAAGAAGTCAAGACTTTTACACTCCCGGAAACTACAGATCTTTTTGTTGGGAGCCTTCCCGAGGTTCAAAGACTGTCAGACAGTTTTTAATATGAAGCTACAAGATATTTTAAAGGAGCTTTTTCCAGTGTGATCATGATGGCCCCCTTATGCTTTTGGACATTGGGACTGAAAAAGACGGCGCCAACGTCTCAACATTTGTAGGACACATCAGCTTTGGTTGGAAAATAAGTTCAGCTTTGGACGGTCAGGTCAGAACTTGTTGTCCATCCATCCAAACACAGGAGGAAACTCTTAGTATCTCTGCATCTACAAGTTAATTATCGTCTTAGCTAGGTTCTTGATCACTGCCCACATCTCCCCAGTTTTTCCGGTACTTCAAACAGGTTGTTGTGGACCGCTGTTTCCCCGGTTAGAGCCAATCAGAGCTTTGTAGGCGTCATATTTCTGTGCCAGACTATTATATATACAGTCTATGGCCAGAACCAGAAAGTCTTCCTCAGAAATGGTGGCAGGTGTGGATGAGATCTTTGCAGCTGTACAGGTTGTCATGAACCAGCTTCAAGTAACGACTCGTAAGTTAACATAATCCTTTTGATCGACATGACATTTGCTCTCTACCACCGCCTCTGTCCAGTGGAAATGACGGTGATGGGATGGATACGTAACCCTCCAGCTGATTAGTTAGAGCTAATATGTGAAAACAAATTGACAATAGAGAGCCTCGCCCTTCCGGTTGACCAATTCAGGAAAAAAATGTACGGTAGTCACGTGATGTTTGTCAGTTTAAAAGAAAATTTAAGTCAATAAAGTCGTAGATTTTTGTAACCGTCGAAGTACAAGACTGTGAAAATATATAATTACAAAGATATCAAAATCAAAAGATGCTTATGTGACGTCAAAACTTTCTCTCAATGAAGGAAGCTAACGTCACTGAAATTACTAAATCTCACATTACTGATGCTACTGATGTTACTAATGCAAATGTCAGTGAAGGTAACGTTATTAATGCTAACGTCACTGAAGCTAACATTGCTGAATCTCACGTTACTGAAGCTCACTTTACTTAAGCTATTGAGGTTTATGTTAATATTACTGAAGCTAACGTTACTGAAGCCAACATTACTAATGCTAATGTCACTGAAGCTAGCATTACTAATGCTAATATCACTTAAGCTAAAATCGCTGAAGCTCACATTACTTAAGCTACTGAAGCTAACATTACTGTCACTCATATATTGTGCGAGACGAGAGATGTAGTTTGTTGAGAGGTTTCACACAAAATTAAATGTTGTTTTACAGTTTTCCAACAATCGACTTTGTTGACATAAATTATCTTTTAACCTGACAAACGTCATGTGTGCAATTAAGGACATAATTCAAATGGGATAAAAAGATGAGTTGTCTCTCGTCGTTTAATACCTTACCTTTTTTACAAAATAAGGTCCCATGAGGCAGAAGGTAGAGACTTGGGCTCTTTATTCATCTATCAGTATAAATCACCAGAAAAACACAAAGATTGGACATGTTTGTGAAGCAATGCAATGTTTGTTTTTATTCATATTTCCCGCCCCATTCACTCATGCAACCCCTTAGATTTACCTTCATACCTCATGGCGGGGTCCCAACCCCTAGGTTGGGAAACCACTGCGTTAAGGAAGTGATTTCTTTAATAAAAGATTTAGCAGCTCAGAGAGTCGTTGAAAATTTCCAGCAGGATTGAGACAGCTTAGTTGAAGATGTGGTCTGGTTTCAAAGGGGAAACACCTGTTTTCCCATCTGCATCAACCATACATGAAAAAGGAAGTCAACACCACCGTCTCGGATTGGATCTGGTTCTTCTTCGGGACCAGGTAGAGGCTCACCTGCAAGACGCAGCAGTATAAAGCTGTACTTGTGTCGAAGTGTTGTTTGACATCAGCTTCTAGTTTTACCTTTCAATTTTCCACCTGGATGTTTTCTCAGAGTGGTTTTATGTGTGGAATTGAACAGTGCCGCCATCTTGGCTTATTTTGGACATAAGGATGACAGACAGAAATATGGGGGGAGTCAAAACTGTCTCACTGGTAACATACCGTATAAAAGCTTTTAGCAGCTGGAGACGTTCTAACTTCTGATTAATGTAAATTACTGCTGATGATGACTTCTGTTTCATAATGTAAAATCTGTATTATAGAAATTGTAGAGTTATTTATGACTTTGTGAGAGCTCATGTAATAATGGGAGTCTTCCAATTAAAGGACATTTTTCATCAGCAGGTTATCAAGAAAGTCTGTCTCCCTCTTCTGCCCCATGGGACTAATTTTGGAAGAAATATGTAGGGTAGTCGACGGCGAGGGACAACTGTTTTGATCGCATTTTGAATTGAGTCCTGAATTACAAACATGTTTGTTAGTTTAAAAGATAATTTATGTAAAGAAAGTCGCAGTTTTTCGTAAAACTGAAGTATAGGACTGTGAAAATACGTAATTACAAAGACTACAAACCCAAAAGTCACGTATGTGACGTCATAACTTTTTCTCACAATAAATGATGCAAACGTCACCGAAGCTAATGCTACTGAAGCAAAGAGCTTCTATGTGAAGATGTGATATATAACCTAGTGGTGGTGATGGAGCAGTGGATAAGACACATGCCTTTGGTGTGAGAGACCCGGGTTCAAACACCCACCAATGTGTCCTTGAGCAAGACGCTTAACCCCTAGTTGCTCCAGAGGCATGCGAACTCTATCTTAGATCGGTAACGTTAACTCCGGCAACTGTGCTGTGAACCTAACCTCCTCGGGAGGACCTATCGGAACGCATTTAAAATGCATGAAAAATTTTAAAATCGCACTTAGATGGCCTATTAGTTTTTTACCCAAACATGATCTTGAACATGACCACGTTATGATAATCTATTATCAATGTAAGGACAGATCTCCGCACATCGTGGATTTATGCTCGTCCCAGCATAAAAATCTATTTCCATCTTTAGGTAACGTTGGCCTATAACGCTGCGACTCTGTGGACCATTTCACTGAAACACTCACTGTGGGCTACATTAGGCTACTGCAGTAATCAGTGTTTAATATGTAACCTATAAAACTGATCAATGAACAGTAATCTTTCATATTGAAGGCTAGTCACACTGATTGGAACATTCGTAGAACTGGAGATAATGTGACTATTTGAGTGAGGATGACTGTGGTGCCGCTGAAACAAACAGGCCTTAATAAGGTTAAAAAGTGAGTTTTTCTTTATTAGCTGCTGATAGTCTGTGTTTTGTCAGCATTAATAAAATACGAAATGAGCAAGATTTTATTAATGTAAAATAGATGTCTAAAACTTTAACCTATAGACACATTTTCCACTGCAAAAAAATAATTAATAGGCTAACCTGCGTGCGACTGTGACTTTACAATCACAGGTTCATGAGTAAACTGTGTCTTATATTTGATCTATGGCCTACCGACATTTTGTCCCGTCGGGTTACAGCTTAATAAATATACCCTTCCAATTTAAAATTTAATGTAATGGGCTGCAGCACTTTATCATTCATTAAGGCAGTTTCCCACCTCAGGCTCAATCAACCCAGAGCTCAGGGAGAAGCTGCTTTCTGAAACAGGACCCAGGAGGCTTTGGATTAACCTAGCTAACATTAGTAGCAAGCATTACAGCGCTAACATGTTGGTGGCAGTTAATTGTTTAATCCAACGACTCCTGCTACTTTTATTACATCTACAAATGGAAGCTCTTTGAAGATTTAGTGACGTTAGCTTCAGTAACTGAGAGAAACAGTGACGTCACACACGCGGCTTTTGGGTTTGTGGTCTTACATATTTTCACAGTCTTGTACTTCAACAGTTTTATGAAAAACTGAAACTTTTTTGACTTTGATTATATTTTAAATAGACAAACAGTGTGTATTTCAGGACACAATTCAAACGGGATAAAAACATTAGTTATCTCTCGCTGTTAAATACTGTAAATGTTTTTCTACGAAATGAGGTCCCATGGTGGTCCACCAGAAAGGATGAGGGACGTATCTCCTTTTATCTATTCAATTGTGCAGGAGTTATAACATGCCCAGCTGCTAAAACGTTAGGAGTAATATAGAAAAAGTATTATGTTTGTTTTTCTTTTTGAATTAAAGTGAGTTAAGAAAATGTCTCAACTTCAGGGAGGGAACGGACACTGTGTATGTAGATGCTTAAGAAACCACGTGTTGTTTTCAGCTGTCTGGTTTGGGCTGAGAGATTTTTTAAATACACTGATTTTCTTATGGAAATGTAAACAAAACGTCACAGTCAAGTTGTTAAATGTTATAACTTAAGACCCTTTTTATCATAAAAACATAGAACAGCTGCGGGTTTCTTAGAAGAGACTGAAGGAAAAAGTAGAACCTATAGAAAATGGATTTCAAATTCTAAATATACAGTTTAAGCTGCATCTCAGTCTTAATCAGCAAAGAAAGTTGCGAACTTCCACACTTACTGCAGGTCACGTGATGAAAGGTCCACTGGCTTTAGAAGACAAAGAGATGCGGCTAAAAAACAAAATTTAAGTGGACTTTTGAGCTTAGATTATTTTGCCCTAACACCAAGAATATCACAAAACACACACATTTTATTTTGGTCTTTCATGCAAAGCTACAAAACCTATACCTCAGCTGCGTTATGATTTGGATTTGGTGATGCCTCGAATGTTATGGTGCCATTTGAGATTTATATATGTACACCTTACATTTCTATTCACTGTAATGTCAATAATTCAGTTTAATGTGTCAGGGTACTGAAATTAGGTCATTCTAATGGTTTCTGTTCCCGACATTGTAGCCCAGGCTATTAATTGGATGTGTTGTTACCAGCAACTCAATGTTGAGTAATTTTTGTCGTGTTTCCAAAACCAGACACTCTGTAGAAAGCGACTCACGGTGTCTGAGCGTCCTGTGGAGCATGCTCAATTTGTAGTCGGTCTGATTTGATTTACCTGTCTACTTGACCAGTATGTCAGCTGACCCTTACAGCCTCCTGCTGTCCATCACTGAGCAGCAACCCCACCAATAACCGTATTGCTGCAGAGCATCTCGGCAGCAGGGATTTGAATCTTCAACTTTACAACCACCCCTGAAATACATTTGAATTAATAACTTTATTTATTCTGTAAAGCACCTTTCAAAAGAGTCAGTAACAGGAAATCAAATCCAGAATCTAAAATAACGTCTAATCAATACTTGCATCACTGCATCAATTTAAGAAGATGTTCAGCTGCTGTTTTTAAGTTGCTCTGTGAAGGAATAATGCAATTTCAGTAACTCAGATTTGACACCTCACTCTGACTCTGTTTCATCTCTCTGTGCGCGGTATAGATCAGAGAAATCTTCCTGAAATTGATCAGTGAGTTCAGGTTTAATAAGGGGAATTTATGCCTGGTTTAAACTTGATTTTTAAATCACCAATAAACCTAATAAAAACAGGAAGTGTCAGTTGAGATGTACACTACCTGTCAAAAGATTTAGAACACCCCATTTTTCTGTATGTAAATATAGATTGTTTAAGTCCAGTAAAAGAACACTTAAAACTTACAAAAGTAAGCAGCAAACTGCCCAAGTTAAAAACAATGTTTACATCACCAAAACAGACATTTTCATATATATATATATATATATATATATATATATATATATATATATATATATATAATTTATGAAGGAAGACAGAGCAGCTGGTCATCTGTTGATCCTACAGTGAAGTAATGAACAAAACTCCACCAATGTCTGTTTTGGTGACATAAAACGTTGTTAACTTTGAAAAGTTTTTCTAGTCTTTCCAGTGAAAAACCTTAGATGTGACAAAAGCAAGCAGCAAACTACCAAAGAAAAATGGGGGTGTTGTAAAGCCATTGATTGGTAGTGTGTATTAAGCGGTACAGTGATTGATTATCTCCGTTCCTTCCCTGCTGCAGCCAGATGCCCAGCAGCAAAACCGATCTGTATCTGCAAACTAATTTTGCGTGGAAATATTGACTGTTTACTGTTTAAATAATATATTTTTTACATGTGACAGTTGAGTTTTTTTTGTCTGCTGATGAGTGAATATTGTGTGTGAGTGACGGATGTTTTTTTTTCCCCCTCCCCTCAGTATCGCACTGTTTTTAATGCACCAGACTGCAGTTCACTCAGTTTCAATTTAAGGGAATTTGACTTGAATTTGGTTGTTTTATTCATTAGGTGGTTATTGTCAGAGCCGAGAAGTGTAATTAAAAATAGATAATTGTGTTTGCTGTTGTAATTTATATATGACTGTGTTCGGCTGTAAATGTTTGTTTTTTTAAGAAAACACAAAAATAAAAAACAGGGATGAGCCCTAAATGTCTGATTTTGTTGTTTATAAAGGATTTTTATTTTATTTGTTCATTTATATATAATTATTATAATTAGCAGACCCAAGTAAATTAACCTGCATTTACCTCCTCATCCTGCACCTTCACTCTGAGTTGTGAAGTTCCGCTGAGTTAGTGCAATCCAAACTGGAAATCAGACGAGCTTGCCTTCAAAATAATTTTAAAAATGTATATAGCACTTTAAGATGTATGCAAAGGCACTTTACAAGGTAAAAAATATCAAGTAGAGATTATGAGAAAATATGTACAGGTGCTAGTCATATAATTAGAATATCATCAAAAAATCTATTTCAGTAATTCCATTCATGATATTATATTAATTCATTAAACACAGACTGATATATTTTAAATGTTTTTCATTTAATTGTGATGATTAAAACTGACAACTAATGAAAATCCCAAATTACACAATTAGACAATTAGAATATTACTTAAGACCAATACAAAAAAAGGATTTTTAGAAATGTTGGCCAACTGAAAAGTATGAACATGAAAAGTATGAGCATGTACAGCACTCAATACTTAGTTGGGGCTCCTTTTGCCTGAATTACTGCAGCAATGCGGCGTGGCATGGAGTCCATCAGTCTGTGGCACTGCTCAGGTGTTATGAGAGCCCAGGTTGCTCTGATAGTGGCCTTCAGCTCTTCTGCATTGTTATACTGGCGTATCGCATCTTCCCCTTCACAATAACCCATAGATTTTTTATAAGGTTAAGGTCAGGCGAGTTTGCTGGCCAATTAAGAACAGGGATACCATGGTCCTTAAACCAGGTACTGGTAGCTTTGGCACTGTGTGCAGGTGCCAAGTCCTGTTGGAAAATGAAATCTGCATCTCCAGAAAGTTGGTCAGCAGCAGGAAGCATGAAGTGCTCTAAAACTTCCTGGTAGACGGCTGCATTGACCTTGGACCTCAGAAAACACAGTGGACCAACACCAGCAGATGACATGGCACCCCAAACCATCACTGACTGTGGAAACTTTACACTGGACTTCAAGCAACGTGGATTCTGTGCCTCTCCTCTCTTCCTCCAGACTCTGGGACCTTGATTTCCAAAGGAAATGCAAAATTTACTTTCATCAGAAAACATAACTTTGGACCACTCAGGAGCAGTCCATTTTGTCTTTAGCCCAGGCGAGACGCTTCTGACGCTGTGTCTTGTTCAAAAGTGGCTTGACACAAGGAATGCGACAGCTGAAACCCATGTCTTGCATACGTCTGTGCGAGGTGGTTCTTGAAGCACTGACTCCAGCTGCAGTCCACTCTTTGTGAATCTCCCCCACATTTTTAAATGGGTTTTGTTTCACAATCCTCTCCAGGGTGCGGTTATCACTATTGCTTGTACACTTTTTTCTACCACATCTTTTCCTTCCCTTCGCCTCTCTATTAATGTGCTTGGACACAGAGCTCTGAACAGCCAGCCTCTTTAGCAACGACCTTTTGTGTCTTGTCCTCCTTGTGCAAGGTGTCAATGGTCGTCTTTTGGACAGCTGTCAAGTCAGCAGTCTTCCCCATGATTGTGTAGCCTACAGAACTAGACTGAGAGACCATTTAAAGGCCTTTGCAGGTGTTTTGAGTTAATTAGCTGATTAGAGTGTGGCACCAGGTGTCTTCAATATTGAACCTTTTCACAATATTCTAATTTTCTGAGATACTGATTTTGGGGTTTTCATTAGTTGTCAGTTATAAAATTAATGAAATAAACACTGGAAATATATCAGTCTGTGTGGAATGAAGTAAGTAATAAGTTTCACTTTTTGAATGGAATTACTGAAATAAATCAACTTTTTGATGATATTCTAATTATATGACCAGCACCTGTATATTAAGCTCTAAGTGCATTCTGTTGAGTAATATTAGTGGGTAATTGAAGTGTTACAGCTGCAAAGTCACATACATGGCAAAACCAAACACGTTAAGAAATAACAAAGCTTCAAACAATTAAAATCTCAGTTTGAAAGTGAAATCAATCTAAACATTAGGAACGTACTTTGTAATGGAAGTCTTGATTGTACATTGTCTAGTATTGGTAATTATGTACAGGTAAGTAGTATGTGACAAGGGAAGTAGTAGAAGGTGCAGTCCCCTCCAACAGTAAGGCAAATTCCTTTGTTTCTGTTGTTCACTGAAGACATTTGGGTTGAAGATCAAAAGATGATTATGTAAATGCTCCGTACTTGTATAGCGCCTTTCTAGTCTTTTCGACCACTCAAAGCGCTTTTACACTATATCTGCATTCACCAGTCACACACATTCATACACTGAGCCTAAGTGCTCAAACGGAAATTAACAGTCACACTCATTCATACACTGGCGGAACAGCCGCCCCGATTATGAGACAAGAGTTCAGAATTTCAGCTTTTATTTCCTGGTATTCACATCTAGATGTGTTAAACAACTCAGGACAGGTGTAAGTTAAAGTAATGGAACAAATAATCTTAAAGGAAATAACATTTAATATTTGGTAGCATAATAATTGCTTGCAATAACTGCCTCAAGCCTGCGACCCATCGACATCACCAAACTGTTGCATTCTTCATTTGTGATGCTATTCCAGGCTTTTACCGCAGCTTCTTTCAGTTCTTGTTTGTTTCGGGGTGTTTCTCCCTTCTGTCTCCTCTTAAGGAGGTGAAATGCAGCTCTATTGGGTTAAGGTCAGCTGATTGACTTGGCCAGTTTAAAACCTTCCACTTTTTCCTCTGATGAAGTCCTTTGTTTTGTTGGCAGTGTGCTTTGGCTCATTGTCCTGCTGCATGATAAACTTCCTCCCCATTAGTTTCAATGCATTTCTCCGTAATTGGCAGACAAAATGTTTCTGTCCACTTCTGAATTCATTCTGCTGCTAACATCATCAGTTCCATCAATATTAATGAGCCTGTTCCAGAAACAGCCATGGTGACACTCCACCATGCTTCACAGATGAACTTGTGCTTCGGATCATAAGCAGTTCCTTTCTTTCTCCACACTTGGGCCTTTCCATCACTTTGCTAGAGATTAATCTTGGTCTCATCAGTCCATCAGATTGGGTTCCAGAAATTTTGCGGCTCATCTATGTACTTCTTTGCAAATTTCAGTCTGGCCTTCCGATTCTTCCTGCTGATGAGTGGTTTGCATCTTGTGGTGTGGCCTCTGTATTTCTGCTCTGAGACTTCTTCCAACAGTGGATTGTGATACCTTCACCCTGCACTGTGGAGGTCGTTGCTGATGTCACTTACTGATGTTTTGGGGGTTTTCTTCACAGCTCTCACCATATTTCTGTCATCAACTCCTGTTGTTTTCCTTGGCCGACCTGTTGGACGTCTGTTGCTCAGTACACCAGTAGTTTCTTTCTTTTTCAGGACATTCCAAATTGTTGTGCTTGTTATGCCCAATGTTTGTCCAGTGGCTCTGCTCGATTTTCCTTCTTTTCTCAGCATGACAGTGGCTTGCTTTTCTCCCACAGACAGCTCTCTGGTCTTCATGTTGGTTTATCCTCTTTAACAGGAAATGCAGTCTATGTAGGTTTGAACCAAGGATGAAAACTTAGACTAGTCATGCAGAGCTATTTAATGTTTGGACAATCAACCTAAAAGGTAACACCTGGGCAACAAGAAACATCTGGCAGGCACATGTTCCAGTAGTTTTGCTCACTAGAAAAATGGGTGGCTTCAAACAAAGGGTGGTATGTCCTGAGTTGTTTAACACATCTAGATGTGAATACCAGGAAATGAAAGCTGAAATTCTGAACTCTTGTCTCATACTCCTCTTTTGATCTTAAACCCAAATGTCTTCAGTGAACAACAGAAACAAAGGAATTTGCCTTACTGTTACAATACTTTTGGAGGGGACTGTATGTTATGCAGGAATGATTTTAAAAAATACATTTAAGGTTATGTATTTACAGTGGTGGACAGTAACTACTGTAAGTATATTTACTCAAGTATTGCAATAAAGTACATTAGAGGTAGGCCTATTTATACTTGTACTGAGTATTTTCTTTTCATGACACTTTCTGCTTCTACTCTACATCTGAGAAGGACATATTGTACTTTTACTTCACTACACATATCTGACAGCTTCAGTTACTTTACTTTTAAGATGTTTACACACTAAACAATTGAAGAGTTTAAAAATTATGATGATTTGTTATAAATTAAACTACCGTACAGATAGTTGATTGACAGAAATTTAATTGGCAACTATTTTGACTATCTTTTATGGTTCACAAATGTGAAGATTTGCAGCTTTTCCTTTTAATTAAATTTATTTTTAATCATTTTGAGGTTTGGACTGACAGAACAAGCATTGTGAAGGTGTCACTTTGGGCTCTGGGTAACCTCACCATCTTAAAACTTTTTACAATTGATTAATGGAGAAAATAATCAGCAAATTAATGCATGATGATATAACCGTCACTGGGGACATTCTGTGTCTTTCTGCTTTGAGTACATTGCTAATCTACTATAAATTATATGGAGAAATCACTTTAAATGTTTCAGTAATTTAAATATTTTAAACTGTTTAAAATTTCTTGAAACACATTTAATTTTAAATAAATTAAGTTTAAATTTGAAATGTATTTTATTTTAAAGAAAAAAATTAAAAGCGCTAAATGGATGAAAATGTTTATAAAATGTGGCAAATATGTTCCATGAACTCTGGAAATCTACTATAAATTATATTGAGAAATCTCTTTTAAATGTTTCAGTAATTTAAATGTTTTAAGAGATTTTAAGCAATTTTAAACACATCTAATTTTAAATAAATTTGAATTTAAGTAACAATGTCTTCAATTTAAATAAAAAAATAATAATAAAAGCTTTAACTGGATTAAATGTTTATAAAATGTGGCAAATATGTTCCGTGAACATTGCTAATGTACTATAAATTATACTGAGAAATCTATCTAAATGTTTAAACTGTTTAAAATATCTTAAAACACATATCAAATTTTAAATAATTTAAATTTAATTTAAAATAACATTGTACTTAATTTTAAATTAAAAAAAATAAAGCTTACTAGATAGAATTGTTTATAAAATGTGGCAAAATAAAAGGATTTGTTCAAATATAATTGTCTTTATCTAAAGGGGAATATTTACCACTGAAGTGCTAATTTATCTTTGACATCCTGAAAACATCAATCCTCAAATAAGGTGACACGTTTTATTTTGAAAGCAATGACCGGAAGTCGTGTGTTTTCGCTCACTCGACGCTGCTCGTGTTTTCTCGGAACAAATTTCAGCACCAGCGTGAAACCAATTAAAACCCCACCCAGTGAGACTCCCAGTATGTAACCTACAGGACAGACTGGGTTCTCTGTGGAGGACCAGTAAAGGTACTGGGAGGACTCGGTGGTGGGGTGAGCGGACCAGCAACCAGGTGGGTTAACGTTTTATTTAGCAGAGACGTTCAGGTGTCTTAACGTTAAAACGGACACCGATGACACGAGGGATGATTTAATCAACTGTAGATGCAGATTCACGTTATCGTGTTTTCTCCTCACAGTGCCTTAATATTCAAGAATAATTCGGTGTTTGTTGGCAGACGTTAGCTCTGTACGCTGTTAGTCTACGTCACTTACGCCAACCGGACTCCGTTAATAAATCCTGTAATGTTACGTTTCCTTACAAGGGAAAACAAGTGATTTTTAAAAAAGGTTTCCATCACCAGTGGTCGCATTCTGGGGCCGTATATTGGTGTTTGTATCAACAACCAAACCCCAAGTTTAAAATCAGCTTACACTGCTAACGTTTATCGGAGGCGTAGTCCAGCTGGCACAGCAACAGACCTACTTTAAAAGTTTAAAATTTAGTAGAAGACGTGCTATTTTGTTTAATTAACTTATGCCGAATTTGAAAGTGGTATATACATATATAGAAGCTGTTTCAATTAACATGTTAACAATTATATATTTTTATACATAGGCAAGGACACTTTTATCCGATACTATTTCCGACGGAGTTTGGAGCGAAGGTATTTTTGCAAGTCAAGACCACACTACTGCGAAGGTATTTTAAGGAGCGCAACCTGCCCATCGCGAGCTTTGACGGCGGTTGATGGCTGTGGTTTTCGTGTAAAAGAGGAAAAAAAAAATCAAGCTAGTGTCTCGATTATGAGATTATCGTAATACATCAAATGTTTGCGGGATAAAGGTGCGTTTATTTTCTGTCACTGAGCAGGGTGTTTTTTGCTGTTCGGGCGGGGCTTCCGGTGGCGCTGTCCGGCCGCATGGTGCTGAACCTCTTCAGGATCAGACACACTGTGCTATAAAAATCTCTCAATGTAGTGTGTAATCACTGGTGGAAGAAGTATTTAAATCCTTTACTGAAGTACTAATACCACACTGTAAATAAGTTACAGGGTAAAATCATGCCTTCAAAACCTTACTTACATAATAAGTATTATCAGTAGCATGAACTTCCAGTATGAAAGTTAAGTAGTCATAGTGCAATAAATGTTCCTGTCAGTGTTTCACTATTATAGCTGATGTTTCTGTCTCTATTTCCAGCTTTGCATTTTCCAGCTGATCCAAGGGGGTTTAAATAGTTTATTATTCTGAAGAAGCAGGAGGATTTTACCTTTTTGTTTTGTTGTCTTCTCACCTGGCTCTCTGATGTTTCCCTGTATACATTACAGGACTGGCAGTCCTGTTTCCAGTCAGTGTGATCTTTGTGTGTTTCAGGTTGTAGATTCTCAGATTCTGAGTGACCATGTGGCGCACAACATTCCTGCTGCTGCTGCTTCTTTACAGTGTGGAAGGTAAGACATCTACAGACTTGTTGGTTCGTTTGTCTGCATCTTTATGTTCAAGGACGTTTATTAACGACAAAACTACTGGTGACGACCTCTCGGACAGATTCATTAAGTTCAAAGTGCAATTTAAGAGCAAAATTATCTTTTTTTATGAATGCTTAAAAGTGCTTCATGAAGCACTATTTCTAAAACCATTAACACTTGCAACCAGTGCAATTGTCCAGTGTGCAAGACTGAATGCACATTCTATGCTTCACACTCAATTTGCAAGTCAATAACATACTACTGTCAAAACTACAAACATTACTCTGTTTTGCTAGTTCGCATTCCACATTGACTCTGAAAAACACTTTTAGATTAGTGGTTCACATACCAATCAGAGATGTAAATAGTGCACAGGTGAACATTTGGTGTACCAGTGGCCCTGATGAGGATGAGGGGGTGAAGAAGAGGAGGATGAGGAAAAGGAGAGGAAGAGGAGTCAGGAACATAATAACTGATGAAATCTGAGCGACTGTGGTTGACCGTGTTATCAGCTATGGGATGAGCTTAGAGGGAGGCTGGCCAACGGGTTCAACCAAATCTGAGCCACTATACTCATAGGTGTCATTTACAACGGGGACGCTGGGGACATGTCCCAACCTACAGATTTTGTCCCCATCACTTTTTAAAAGCATTATTTGCTTAAAAAGAGTGTGTGCCATTTACAAGGGTATCACACTTCTCAGCCTCCCCGGTAAAGTCTACTCCAAGGTGCTGGAAAGGAGGGTTCGGCCGATTGTCGAACCTCAGATCGAAGAGGAACAATGCGGTTTTCGTCCCGGTCATGGAACAACTGACCAGCTCTTTACTCTCACAAGGATCCTGGAGTGGGCTTGGGAATATGCCCATCCAGTCTACATGTGCTTTGTAGATCTGGAGAAGGCGTGTGACCTGGTCCCCTGGGAGATACTGTGGGAGGTGCTGTGGGAGTATGGGGTGAGGGGGGGCCCTTCTCAGGGCTATCCAATCCCTGTACATCCAAAGCGAGAGCTGTGTCCGAGTACTGTGCAGTAAGTCGGACTCTTTCTAGGTGAGGGTTGGCCTTCGCCAGGGCTGCGCTTTGTCACCAATCCTGTTTGTGATATTCATGGACAGGATATCGGGGCGTAGTCATGGCGATGAGGGGCTGCGGTTCAGTGGGCTTGGGATCTCGTCACTGCCTTTTGCGGATGATGTGGTCCTGATGGCATCATCGGTCCGTGACCTTCAGCTCTCACTGGATTGGTTCTCAGCAGATTGCAAAGCGGTTGGTATGAGGATTAGCACCTCTAAATCTGTGGCCATGGTTCTCAGCAGGAAACCGGTGGAGTGCCAACTCCAGGTAGGGAATGAGTCCTTACCCCAAGTGATCTACCGGTCGATTTTCGCTCCTACCCTCACCTATGGTCATGAAGGCTGGGTCATGACCGAAAGAACGAGATTGCAGGTACAAGCGGCTGAAATGGGTTTCCTCAGGCGGGTGGCTGGTGTCTCCCTTAGAGATATGGTGAAAAGCTCGGCCATCCACGAGGAGCTCAGAGTAGAGCCGCTGCTCCTTGCCACGACTACGCCTCGATATCCTTTCCTGGAACGCCTCCCAGTCAGAGCTGGTTAATGTGGCTCAGGAAAGAGAAGTTTGGGGTCCCCTGCTGGAGCTGCTCCCCCCGCGACCTGAGCGGATGAAGGTGGATGGATGGATGGATATTTGCTTAAAATGTTCTGAAAAAGTAACTTAAGCTAAAAAATAAAAACCTACCATATATTTTGAATTGTCACCTGCCACCTGGATTGTGTTTCCCTTTATATAAATAAAGGAATTTCCGTAAATTGCTGCAGAAAAAGTCTTCAGAATGCAGAGAATTATGTGATTGTTGTTCTTGTGACCCCGATATTGTGCAACCTCACAAGTCAAGTTTGACACGTCCCTAATCTGAGCCATTATGTCCCCACCACTTTTCAACACAAAGAGACGCTGTTGGCTATACTGTTGCAGGTATCATCTGTTTTTTTAAAAGTAAGTAATGTAAGTAACTGTAATCGCTGTGCAGTTCTGGTTCTGTAATATGTACTGTAATGACACAAATCTATCATTACTGTACAAACAATCAAATGTATTTACAGATTTGCAAGAAAACAAATATCTGGTGACACAGGTTGACTGTTCGCCCCCGAGCAGGACACCCACATTGTAAATGTGGTCACTTCAAATAACTGCATGACACACACTTGTAATGTAACTTACAGAATAATAGAATCAGTGGTGTGATGAATCATTCCTTTATACGTACAGTACAGTAGGAGGCCGAGAATGGCGTCCCCTCTTGACATGCAGCATCTCTCTGCCCTAAATACACTCAAGTGAAAGAGTCGATACAAGGCGACCTCAAGCAGGTGTTGATTTAATTCTGGCATTTTAGTGTACAGTCCTAGACAGCGTCCTGAGCTCACAGTCATGTTAATGTACTAATGAAGGTCAGTGCCCCGCTTTAAGGACATGTTGATCTTGACGATTAACACACTTTGATTATTTCCAAAGGTAAATACAACGGGTCCTAATAATCTACAATCTAAAATATTTATTTCTCACAAACTACAAGACCGCATACTGACGGATAACACAATGTTCCAAAACATCAACAGAGTGAGGTTCTCTGCATTGGATGTAGCCACTGTAAAGAGTCCCTTTCAAAATAAACTCACGTAAAACATATCCGAACTTTACACATTGTGTGTATGTGAATTTTACTGTACTACATGCATGACAAAACTTGTGCAAACTGCTGAGAGATGTAATGTTTTGCCTTTTGTGGTGTAAGGTTCTGTGGTTAGTGTGTAGAGTTTTGCAAAAATAGCTTACAGTTTCAAAAAGTGTGCTTAAGCAATCAGAAGAGCAAAATAATCTATAATTACTGACAACAATAATGAATGAATCAATGATGGATGTTATGTTAGATATGTTAGACCTGTTGTTTACATGCAGACGAAATAAATTCAAATTCTATGTCTCAGTTGATTTTATTTAAAAATAATTTCCGCAAGGGTTTTACAACAAAAACAAAAGGTCTTATTTCTCCAAAATAAACAAAGTGTTGTGTTTCAGCTGTAGTGGCGTCTCAGTGCTGGCAGGGGGCGACCTTCTCCGAGGCAGTGGTGTCTCCAACGGTAGAGAGCGGTGGCATCCTGCGGGTACCCGGAGTGGCGTCCTTGCCGCAGTGCGTGGCAGCATGCTGCGACCTGCCGGGGTACGACCTGGCCTGGCTGTTCGAGGGCCGCTGCTACATCCTGAGCTGCCAGCAGAGGGAGAACTGCCTGCCCCGAGAGCGACCCGGGGCCGACTCCGTCCTCGCCTTCCTGCGGAGAGCATCACCACAGACACTGGTGCTGCAGTCTTTGGTGAGAGGAGAGCCATATGGTGGACGCTGGAAGCCACTCTCGCGGTCCTCTGAGGCCCCTGGGGACCTGGAGGCCCTGAAGGACCTCGCCCTGTTCGACGGGCCCCGTCGGGACTTCTCAGACCCCGGTGTGCTGGATGTGGAGTATTCGGAGGGAAGCCAGGAGGAGAGGGGAGGGCCCGGCTCGGAGATGATGACCGATCAGCTGTCCTTGAAGAGACAAGACGGGATCAACCAATCAGAGGTAGAGGACGGTCCGGAGAGGGGGGTGACGGAGAGCAGTGTGGCCCAGAATAGAGCCTCCTCTGGGGGGAACATCAGTCAGGGAGACGAGGACAAAACCAGGAGACCAACTGATCCTGCTGTTGCAGAGAGAACAGTGAGTGATTAAGTTAATCAGGTTAATGAGGTTTCATCTCTTCAGAATGCAGCTACAGAAATTAGGGAAATATTTTATTTTAAAGAAATAGTGTAATATTTTGGACAAAATGTCTTTTTTTTTTTCTTTACTTCCAAGAGTGAGATATCTGACATCAATTACATGACTGTGTTCAGTTCTGTGCTGAAGTCAGGATGTGGTTAGGCTACCTTAGCATAAAGACTGGAAGGGAAACTGCTTGCCCTGTAGGGGGAGTTATGTGCTGGAACTATTTCTTCATGAACAACAATGTATCCATCCGCCCAGTGCTCCTGTAGTTTCTCCAGCTATAGGTGCAGGGGCCGGTTGCACAAAAAACCTTAAATTAAGATTTTCCTTAAAGTCAGAGTTAAAGGTTTCCTTAAAATACATTTGATTGCACAAAACACCCTTATATCTCTCCTTAAAATTTTCACTTAAGTATTTGAGGTTTTCTACTTATCTTGGTCTTATACTTAAGGAATCCCTTAAGTGTGTTAAACCGTTGCACAAAGGACCTTAGCAACCAAACTAAGGAAAAGAATTTAAGGTACCTCAGGCTTTTTCTGAAGTGCAAAATGGTTGAGTTTATGGCGATAAATGAAGAAATTTTACATATACTGAGAACAGTGTTCCGCGACCGGGATAATCCAATGGATAAGCTAAATGATGAGCAAAACAGGAAGGTTGTCAAATTTATTGCTAGCTAGCAATACCGTCTAATTTATGTATAGCCTAAATAAAGTTATTCTAACAGTTTTATTGGGTTCCCTTTTATAATTAGTGATCTATTTTTTGGCAAGAACATTGTCATACTTATTTTGGATCTCCTGGATGGACCTCTCCACAAGACTTCTTGAAGTAATTTTTGAAGCGATTTCCTCCCACATTTGTTGTTTCCTGTTTGCTGTTATTTGCGGATCAAATTTACTTTTTGTGCTTTCTTTCATGAAATTCCAGTCTTCATGGTGGTAACAGTAGAATTTTAATGCTTGCTTAACTAAGGGAACATTTAAGGGATTCTGTGCCACACCCTTAAGTTCATTCTTTAGCTAAGGAGATATTAAGACTTACAGGTAAGTGTCATACTTAAAAAAAATAACTTAAGGTTTTTAGTGCAACTGGCCCCTGGTTTTCAGATACAGTCAGGTTTTGGTTTAGTGAAGCCAGTGGTGAAGAGCCTTAAACCTGCGATCTCTCTAGCAGCCAGAAGGGGGCAACTCCACTGGCTGCAGAAAGAAGTGCGATTGTATAGAAGTCTATGAGAAAATGTTTCTAATTCTCAGCTGATTTATTCCCTCAGTAAACACTTTCCTGATGAGTTTATGGTCTCAGTCGTTAGTTTCAAGTCTTCTTCAACACAGCATGATGTTCATTTAGTAAATTATGGTCCCATTTAGAGGAACATAGACCAGAAAGCAGGGGAGGCTTTAGAGTTGGGCTACGAGGTGATTGACAAGCAGGGCTGGACTGGGACAAAAAATCGGCATTTTTGGCCCAGGCGGCCCACCAAAATCGACAAAACTCTTAGCTCATGAGATTTGACACTGCACAACAGTGGGGCCATGACAACAAGACAGCAATATATTTTAATAGGCTTAGTATTTGGGGAAGAAAAATGTATTGATGAAATAGTTGATAGGGGGGTCTGGGGGTCTTCCCCCAGAAGATTTTAAACATTAAATACTTAATTTCCTGTATTCTGTAGACATACTTGTATCAACACTCAAACTGCTACCTTGTTATGCCATTTGTCAAACTGAACCCTATAAATCATTGAGCTACATTTTAATTATTAAATATCATAGGCCATTAAATACATTTGTTATGATTTTTGTAATTACTACTGATAATAAATAAATAAATTAAAAGATTTAAGAGGGGGGGTCTGGGGGTCCTCCCCCTAAAGGATTTGGGCTTTAAACACTTCATTTCCTGCATTCTGGTGGATTTTTCTGCACCAATTCATTATATAAAAGGAAACAAAAAATTCAGTTGACAATTCAAAAAATAAAAATATAGTGTAATATATTGCTGTAAGGCTCTCAGGCATTCTGTATTACTGTCAAATATGTTTCTCCTGTTTGTTTTTTTTTCCATTCATTTCATTCAGTTAATATCCCGTGCACCTTAATAGCTCCTATGTTTCAGCAGCTTTTCTGCTCATGTTCAAAACCTTCTGCACATGAAAAGTCTCTCCCACATATCTGAGTTCTCTGACATTTGCAGAATAACAATTTGAGATATAATATTACGAGATATAATGAGAATGAAGTCATATTTTAACCAAATCTACCCGCCCCACTGCTGTGCATTACCCTGCCTTAGTGCTCTGCTGATATGGTCGTAGGCTGCTACCCCCTTTAGACCATCTGACAGACAGAGTGCCGTCTGGGAATGTACTGGATGAGACGAACTCACTGCTCTTCATCAGAGGTAGAAAACCGAAACTGAAAACCGAAATATCAGCACACATCCACACACACGTTCACTTCAGCGCCTCTGATAAAGTGCAGCTCACAGCCGCTTCAGAGGGAATGAAGCAACCTGGAGCAGAGAGACAGTCAAACAGAGCGAAGTGTCTCTGAGGGAGGGGGACAGAGACAGCAGAGAGAGCGACAGGTGTCTGTGTCGCGGTCAGGTGTGTCCTGATATTCTCTCACTACTTTTTGGCGACTGTTAACCGTTTGTGTAGCAAATACATTGACTGGACGCTGACCGACAACATTTATATTTACATGGTTTGATTAAAATTTTTCTCGGGACAAATTAGTTGTCGCTGACGAGCCCCAATGCGCTCGCTCTCTCTTTCTCTCTCTCTCTCTCTCTCTCTCTCTGCAGGCAGGCAGTAACGGCGGGGGGTCACGTTACGTTAACTCCAAACAAAACGTAGCAATAGCATTGCGGGTAGCCTCCGCTCTGTGAAGAGCTGCGAGACAGGCTGTGTGATGAGGATTATTGCATGTTAGCCTAATATGGAAAATATTTTTTATGTTGTTGAGTTACATTCGGGGCTAAAGCCACCTGGCGACGCCATTGGTGGGCCAATGTCCCCAGCGTAAATGACCCTCCCTCCCTACAGGTTGAGCTACTCATGCTTGCCGCTTCACCTCCTCTCTCCTCCTACTCACTCTCTCACTCAGCTTTGCCACTCGCTAACACAGCCTGCTCCTCTGCCTGGCAGCGAAAATCTCCCAATCGGCCGCTGTCCATGCTTTATGGGCCGGTTGTTGGCCCATTAAAAAAAAAAAAAAAACAGTTATATGAATAATTTGTTACATCGGCCCCAAAGGTCACCGGGCATTTGCCCGGTATGCCAGATTACCAATCCAGCCCTGTTGACAAGTCTCTCCCATGCCGACCTGTCAATGAGGATAAAGGCGACTCGTATCTGCTGCTCGGTGTACGTTTAACCTGCGCCGCTGAAAAAGCTTATTAGATGTCGGCTGTTCATTTATCAGTAAATACGTTTTGTTACTAGGCAAAATTAGCATCCCAGCTAATATCACAGTTAACGTGAATTACAGATGCACTTTACTAACCAAACCAGCTAGCTCCACCCTCTCGTCCAAATATGATCACTGTAACGTTAGGTCAAATCCATGCTGCCTGCCGGATCCCTATATGCACATGCATAAAAGTGGTTACCACAAATGTGCCTGTTCATTATTATTCGTGTGTAGTTGTCTGTTCTCATTTCAGGGCGTCAAATACTGACGCTTTTAGAAAGGCTGACAAAGCGTTATTTGATGTAAAAGGTACCCTTCAGCGTCTCTATCAGACGACCTGTCTAGACCGGAAAGCGCTAGTAGCTAGCCAGGTAACTATTTGCACAGCTGTAGAGTTAGCCGAAGGGTTAGCCTCATTTTTGTTGCTACATTGTTAGATAGTTGTCATTATTAGAAATTAAAAAAATCCTGTTGACTAAGGTTGTTCATATCCAAAGTATATTCTTATTACATCATGGTGTACAGTTTCATCTCCAGTGATCCACACACGTCTGGTTCCAAAAACCCAAGATGGCGACGGCCAAAATTCCAAAACGGTGGTCCATAAACCAACGGCCAAGGTCACGGCAGCTATGTCCACTTTTTCATACAGTCTGTGTGGTATCACACCTCACAACCTCACTGTGAAGACACTTCAGGAAGCTGAGAGATAAATAACCACACACACGTCTCCCTCTGCTAATGAACTTATGTTTTTATTGTCGTTTTTTTTTTTCTTCATACAGACCAAAACACAAAGCAGCACCGAGTCGACATCGCTGACGCCGTTACTGCTAGAGAAACAAACTGACTCCACCCAACAGGACCGTATATGGACTTCACTTGCCACCCATGCCACACCCCATTGGCTGATCAGCACATCCGTACAGCCAGGTACCCCTGAAAGTATGATTTTTAAAGCCACCATGTGTAGGATTTGAAAATGACTTATTTTGGCGCCCACCGGTGGTCACTTAGAGAATTAAACATTTAGACTACACAATAGTAGCAGCTTCAAAATGAACTAAAGTTTTTATTTCATGCTGAAATTCCTTTTAGGAACATTTGACCCACTGTGACACTTTTCTTTTTCCTTCCTTCTTCAACCTGCAGATCGACCCCTGATGGTGTCCCGTGGACACCCTGTAGAGCGGACGTTGCCCACAGTTAAACCTGCTGCTTCAGTTTCTCCTGCACCCACATCTGGTACTGAACACACACTGAACTGTTACACGTTTAATCTGTTTGTCCATTGGTTTGGTTCTCCTGTAACCTGTTGTAACACACCCGTGTGCCTAAAACATCCTGCAGCCGGCAGAAGAAACACTCACCTGTTGTCTGAGCCGATTAGTGAACTCATGAACGTGTATTAATAGCAGTACAGACCTTTGGCATACACACAATCCCTTTTTCTTTCTTGTGAAGCTGTTTGGTTCAAAATAAATATTAAATCATTCTAAATAAGTGTTGCAGTTTATCTCAGTACTAAGGACATTTTTTCTGTACTCTTAACACTCCACAGACATGGTGAAGGTGTTCCAGTCAGCAGCCGGAACACAACAGACCCCCACCCAACCCCCAGCCAGAGCCATGACCTTTGACCCCACCACCACCAGCTCCTCATCTCCCAGCACCAACCCTCCAACCATGACCTCCGCTACGACTGCTGCTGTGTCCGGTAAATCATAGACACCACAGAGGAAATGTTGACACATTAATGTTCAGAATACACAGCTGAAGTACATTTTCTTGTAGTTGCATGTAAATAATATGACAGCAGGATAAACAATATGATCCGTCTGCAACAAGCTAAACATTCAGACTTAATACATATTTAATTTAATATGATTTGTGCTTACTCTGGTATTTAATTCAACGCTAATGTTGCGTCTGTTGCCCTTCCTGAGAGTTTTCCTCATCTGAATCAAGGCTCTGAGGACAGACGGCGTTTTTGTGATGTTAGGCTCTATAAATAATTGACCTGATTAGATTACCATCCTGTCTGTCCTCAGCAGCTGTCAGTACTTTTCATCAGTAGTTTTCATCTCCTCAGATCTACAAGTTAGACAGTGGGTTAGTTTCTTCACTGTGAGATTCACTTTCAAACGAAATAATCAAACAACAAATTTACAGGCAGCATATAAACTGGTCCAAAATCTTCATAAATGCACCTGAGGATACAGATAATTGTTTCAGAATAAATCTACAATCACGTCTGTCAGTGTAACGTTAGCCTCCACCACTCACCTACTTTAACATGAAACGTCCTGCTGTGATCAGGGAGAGTGCAGACAGGAAGGTTAGCAAGTCTGGTATGAATGTTTTCAGGAGAGGAGAAGTGATGAGGGCTGTTTTTATTATTATTTAAGTCGTGTAATTGATGTAACAAATGAACAACTCACGGTGAACTATGAATGTGAGCGTTACCAGGAGCTAAGGAGCTCCTCACTGTAGCTCCGCCAGAGCCGGTGTTCTGATGTGTAACCTTGTCAAAAAATGCTACCGTAGCGCAAATCGATAGCAGAGTCTATCGAGTCGCAGTGCCCTATCGAAAAATGCTACCTTATGTGTTCCCTTTTCCAATCCCATAAAGGTATACCTCTCACAGTATTATGACGTCTTCTGTTTTGATTACAACATAATTTAAGGGGTAGCATATTCTGAGAGACTAATATCCCTCATCAAATAATGCTCCCACCAGCGGCGTCGTTAGCCCTAGGCATGTTTTTTGAAAAGCCCCGGATCTCAGAAGGATTTTTAAAAAACAAACAACAAAAGGCTGAAAATTTAACTTTACTCGCTTAACTAATGTTACACGAGAGAGAGAGAGATTATTGTTATTATTTATTCTCCTGCAAATTAGCGGGAGAATAAGATGATCCAGCTGTAGCTCTGTGTCTGTCCCCTCTGCTCCACCTGAAGCTGTGAGCTGCACTTTATCAGAGGCGCTGAAATTAACATGTGTGTGGATTCGTGGTGAGGTTGATCACCTGATAGGCATAGGAGGTGTGTGTGTGTGTGTGTGTGTACCCCCTGTTGACCCCCTTTTGCCTTCAGAACTGCCTTAATTCTACGTGGCCTTGATTCAACAAGGTGCTGAAAGCATTCTTTAGAAATGTTGGCCTATATTGATAGGATAGCATCTTGCAGTTGATGGAGATTTGTGGGATGGACATCCAGGGCACAAAGCTCCCGTTCCACCACATCCCAAAGATGCTCTATTGGGTTGAGATCTGGTGACTGTGGGGGCCATTTTAGTACAGTGAACTCATTGTCATGTTCAAGAAACCAATTTGAAATGATTGGAGCTTTGTGACATGGTGCAATATCCTGCTGGAAGTAGCCATCAGAGGATGGGTACATGGTGGCCATAAAGGGATGGACATGGTCAGAAACAATGCTCAGGTAGGCCGTGGCATTTAAACCATGCCCAATTGGCACTAAGGGGCCTAAAGTGTGCCAAGAAAACATCCCCCACACCATTACACCACCACCACCAGCCTGCACAGTGGTAACAAGGCATGATGGATCCATGTTCTCATTTTGTTTATGCCAAATTCTGACTCTACCATCTGAATGTCTCAACAGAAATCGAGACTCATCAGACCAGGCAACATTTTTCCAGTCTTCAACTGTCCAATTTTGGTGAGCTCTTGCAAATTGTAGCCTCTTTTTCCTATTTGTAGTGGAGATGAGTGGTACCCGGTGGGGTCTTCTGCTGTTGTAGCCCATCCGCCTCAAGGTTGTGCATGTTGTGGCTTCACAAATGCTTTGCTGCATACCTCGGTTGTAACGAGTGGTTATTTCAGTCAAAGTTGCTCTTCTATCAGCTTGAATCGGTCGGCCCATTCTCCTCTTACCTCTAGCATCAACAAGGCATTTTCGCCCACAGGACTGCCGCATACTGGATGTTTTTCCCTTTTCACACCATTCTTTGTAAACCCCAGAAATGGTTGTGCGTGAAAATCCCAGTAACTGAGCAGATTGTGAAATACTCAGACCGGCCCGTCTGGCACCAACAACCATGCCACGCTCAAAATTGCTTAAATCACCTTTCTTTCCCATTCTGACATTCAGTTTGAAGTTCAGGAGATTGTCTTGACCAGGACCACACCCCTAAATGCATTGAAGCAATTGCCATGTGATTGGTTGATTAGATAATTGCATTAATGAGAAATTGAACAGGTGTTCCTAATAATCCTTTAGGTGAGTGTATAATCTTTATTTGTTGAGCACTTTTCAAAAACAAGTTACAAAGTGCTTTAACAAGTGTAAAGACAATAATACCCAAAAGACAATGATACAAAAACAATACAAGATAAAAGCAAGAAAACATTGAAAGGACTAAAATACACGTTTAAGATAAATATAAAATAAGTTAAATGGAATAAAATAAAAGGGATAAAATAAAGTCAAATAAGATCGGGAAAGGCTCTCCTATAAAAGTATGTTTTAAGAAGGGACTTAAGAGTTCACTGACTCAGCTGACCTGATTTCCTCGGGCAGGCTTGTTCCAGAGCCTCGGGGCCCTGACAGCAAATGCTCTGTCCCCTTTAGTTTTCAGTCGAGACTCTGGAACAGACAACAGACCTCTGCCCGAGGATCTCAAGGTACGTGCTGGTGTGTATGGGACTAAAAGGTCAGAAATATAACAAAGCGAGAGGCCATGAAGAGCTTTAAAAGTGATCAATAAAATTTTAAAGTCAATTCTAAAACATACTGGGAGCCAGTGTAATGAAGCTAAAATAGGAGTAATGTGGTCATATTTCTTTGTTCTGGTTAAAAGCCTGGCAGCTGAGTTCTGGACAGTCTGGAGTCGATCAGTAGATTTTTTGGTTAAACAAGTGAAAAGGCTGTTGCAATAATCCAGGCGTGATGAGATGAAGGTGTGTAAAATGGTCTCGGTGTCCTTAAAAGTTAACATAGATCGAATTTTTACTATATTTCTAAGTTGATAAAAACATGATTGAACAAGTTTTGTGGTGTGCTGCTCGAAATTTAAATTACTATCAAACCAAACACCAAGGTTCTTTGCCACAGGCTTAATGTGATTTACTAGGGAACCAGCAGATGGCAGTATTTGTTGCCATGTGCTGGGACCCAATGACCAGGATTTCTGTTTTGTCTGAGTTCAGCTGGAGGAAATTATTTGACATCCATTTTTTAACTTCACAAAGGCAGTTGTTAAGTGAACTCAGCATTCAAGGGTCTGTGGATCTGACTGGCAAGTACATGTGTGTGTCATCAGCATAAATATGAAAAGAAATGCCATGTTTATGGATAATATGTCCAAGGGGAAGCAGATACAAGGAAAACAAAATGGGTCCTAAGACCGACCCCTGAGGCACACCATATTTAACTGGACAGAACGAGGAGACATAGTTGTTTACAGACACACAAAACTTCCTATTTGACAGGTAGGATGAAAACCATTCTAGGGCAGTACCAGAGATCCCCACCCAGTGCCTCAGTCTGTCTAACATGGTGTTGTGATCAATGGTGTCAAAAGCAGCACTAAGGTCCAGGAGTACCAGGACTGAGCACATGCCTTCATCAGCAGACATTAAAAGGTCATTGGTGACTTTAAGCAGGGCAGTCTCAGTGCTGTGGTACTTCCTAAAACCAGACTGAAACTTTTCAAATATTTTGTTATTTTCCAGTACAGTGAGTAGCTGTTTGGACACAATTCTTTCTAGAATCTTTGCAATAAAAGGCAGTTTTGAAATTGGTCTAAAATTATGTGGGAGGGAGGGATCTAAACCAGGTTTCTTTAAAAGTGGGTTCACGCAAGCCGTTTTAAAATAATCAGGGACACAACCAGTAGATAGGGAGTTGTTGAAAACAGAGATCAAATGGGGCCCAACAGAATCTATTACTTTCAGTAAAAACTGTATTGGTATTACATCAAGTGGGCTGGAGGACTCTCTCATTTGTGATTACTGTTTTTAAAAGCTCAGACAAGTCGATGGGATAAAACTGGTTAAAACTCTCTTGTTGCTGGTGAGGGACCTCTGAGTAAGAGGCTGCGGGGGTAATAGAGGCTCTGATTGACACCACCTTATTGGTAAAATAAGATAAAAACAATTTAGTCATCATTACTTCCAGCTGAGGCACAAGGAGGGGTTGGGTTTACCAGCTGATCCACAGTCTTAAACAGAAACCTGGGGTTGTGTTTATTTGTAGTAATGAGTTCAGAAAAATAGTGTGTTCTCGCATCCTTAACCATGTTATTGTAGTTAATTAATAAATCCTTCAGACTGAGGTAATGGACTTGGAGACTGGATTTTTTCCATCTGCGCTCTGCTTTCCTGCATTCCCTTTTGAGGCTGCGAATGCTGTCATTTATCCAGGGTTGCTTACTAGCTTTAGATGTAGGCCTAACCTTTAGAGGAGCAGTAATATTTAGTGACGACAAGCAGATATGATTGAAGTGATCGACCAGATTGTTGGTGTTGGAATCAGACAGGTGTTGGCTTTGGCTCTGAAAGAATGTGCAAAACTTTGAAATACTTTGTTCATTAAAGATTCGAGAACACACGACTACAGACTTTTCTTTTGTGCTGCTTTTCCTTCTAGCTGAAGGCAGCAGTGATGATGTCTGCATCATGTAGCATAATGTAGGCCTACTCTTAATTTTGCTACATTTTCCATTCATACCTTTTATAACTTAACCAGTCT